TGTGAGGAGGAAAGTTATAACTGCCAGGTACATTTTCTTTAACTTTTAGGGGGAAATTTGGGACTTGGGGGAGGGTGTGAGTGCCATCCAGGAACYCAAAAGGTGCAAGATGGTAATGGAGTCACACCTCCGGGTAGTCCCAGGACTAACCGGAAGTCAGTCTTCAACTTAGCTCTGTCAGATCTTGGATCAGTTTCTGTCACCCTGCCCAAATCCATGGCAAATTCCCTCATGAACACTAGACTGATTTCTTATTTTGGATGTGTTACCCAAGTATATCTCTTTCTGCTTTTTGCAGCATCAGATTTCACCCTCCTTACTGTCATGGCACATGACCGTTATGTCGCCATCTGCAATCCACTGTGATATGAGACTATCATGAACAAAGGAGCCTGTATTCAAATGGCAGGTGGTGCATGGCTAAGTGGTTTTCTCTATGCTATTTTGCACACTGGTAGCACCTTTGCCATGACCTTCTGTTCGAATACAATCAATGAATTTTTTTGTGAGCTCCCACAGCTACTAAAGATATCCTGTTCTAATTTATCCTTACTTGAAAATGCATTTATTGTTTTAGGTGTTACTGTAGCATTTGGCTGTTTTATTTTCGTAGTTACGACTTATGTTCAGATCTTCACTACAGTGCCAAAAATGCCATCCTCAAAAGGAAAGCAGAAAGCTTTCTCAATTTGTCTTCCCCATCTCATTGTTTTCTCCATGTTCCTTTTCACTGGAATGCTTGTTTACTTGAGACCCATACCTCATATCTCCTCACATCTGAATATGATTTTTGGTTTCCTATATTCTGTGGTTCCACCTATGATGAATCCATTAGTTTATAGCATGAGGAATAAGGAGATGAAGGTAGCCATATTGAAACTTTTGGGGATGAAATAGCTTTCCTAGAATGTATTTTATCTTTTGTATTTATTGGGTTTTTATGAATATATATGTTTTTAAATTATAGCACTAGTCCTATCCTAGAAAAAAGAATTCCATGATAAAATATATAAAGTAGGAGTATGCAGAGAAACACAACAGATCTGCTCTCTTATCTTGCATAAATTGGAAAGAAAGTGTACACTTTTCTACCTTGATGGACTCTGTGCAATGCAGAATACCAGTTTATCCCAGATTTCATGTAACAAAGAGAACTTGCAAAATCTGATAGTATCCTATGTGTCAGATGTTTTCCTTCTTAGTTGCTTTCCCCCCTTACATCCAGAAAATGGATACTTGCAGATCTAAACAAATTCTGAAAAATACTAAACATTTTGGATGGTTTTGCATAATGTCAGAAATTGTGGTGCTTCTTAGTCAAAAGTGTATAATTATCTGAAACATTGGCTGTGGTGAGTATGTGCAGCCAACAATTGTCTTTCAGTGTGCTTCTTTGCATTGATTTCTACAGTAGCAGATAGCGATGGCTCTGGTAACTCAGAGGTTTGGACATAAATTCAATTTCTGTCATATTTCATGACATTTAAAAAAACAGAGTAAAATACATACACATAAAGTCAGGGATGTAGTGATAACATTTGCTTTCTAAATTCTAAATACAATTTGATCCACTTTTTAAAAAGCCGGTAATAGTGTAATAGTTATACACATATAGAAAGAAGTGTGTGCACACTATATTGGGAACATAAACGGGCTATGTTGGGTAGGTACAAGGGATATAATTCAAACCATGTAAAGACATTGTAAAAATGGCTTAATAAAATAAGCTTAAAACTAAGTACAGAATGAAACCATTTAAACCAAACAATTATATGTATTAAATGTAAATTAAAGCATTAGCCATATTACCAGTAAGCAAGAATTTTATATCTCTCCTACTCCTGTAACTAAGATACCCATGTGGCACCTAGCAAGTTTGGTCCATCAGGAAATCCTTAAATTTTGACAACCACAAGCTTTATTACAGACCCAGATAGCTCAACTGCTGAAGATACTGAAGTGCATACAGATTAATAAATTGGTTAAAACAGATGATGATGCACTAAGTGAAGTACATATGAATTAATGCAAATGCCAGTTTCAACCCGAGTCTAGTATAGTGCGTTTTCTTATTCTGGCTACCTCCAAGAGAAAGTTGGCAACAGCCAAAGTCACAGGGTAAGATTATCTTCCAGTCTAAACTTGACATAAAATTTAGCTGCTTTGCCAGGTAAGTTGCTCAGTAATGAGTTAATAAGATGTTGTTCACGCCTGTTGCAGGACAATGTGATGCATACATTCCACTTCCTGGTTACTGCATCTTCAAAGTCTTGCATTATATGGAACACCCACAAATCCGCCTCAAAGCATTTCCAAGGGGAACACATTGCATCTTGCCTTTGAAAATAGGTAGCGATATTGGCAACTGTCAAATTATTATTAACTCAGTGGAGTGGCCCAGTTTAGTCTAGACACAATGCGCTAGGGGCACAAGAAATGTGTGAGCAAGAGCATAGCTCAAAGAAAGCACTGCCCCACAGTCTTTGTTTGATAGATTTAAGTGTCAAGTTAAAAGCCAAGTGAGTTAAAAGGGATGCAGAAAGGCCAAGAGAGGAGGCTTTTTTGAAATAAGTCTAGATCAGCAACAAAACTAAAAACACTGATCTTGATCCAGTATTTAAGTACCAACCACCCAACTCTTGTTGACAGATTGTAGCAGCAAGATGCAAGTTTGAACACATCTATGGAACTGAAAGATGGCTTTCAAGAATATTGCTTGCTGTTTGTGTAGCTGAGACGTTAAGTCATCTATCCAAATACTGGAAGCATACAAACACTGAGAGGCTATCTCGGTGTTAAAAACTTTAATAGCAAATGGTATAAGCAGACCCCCCTTTGGTAAGACTAAAGTGGAAAATGGCTGATCTGTTTACTTGTGCTTTCTGGGAAATAGCAGATATATTCCATTATGTGATGGAATATCAACCACAGGTAGTGGAAGCTTCTAATCTAACCCATTTTAAAGTATGCCTATCTAGAAACCATTGACCTAGGGATTTTCTCTCTCTAAAAGACCAGAAATTTAGATTTCCCACAGTTGAAGTTTAGGTTGTTCTGTAAGCAAAAATTTAGAAACCTCCTTAGTAAATATTCTTTAAACCTTCTCTGGTGTGTGAGACGGTAGCAACCAATAATGAAATTTTCCCAGTCCCAAGCTTGGGCAAATGGCCATTGGGGTTCAAAAGAGTTTTTTCAGATCCTTTATGAATATGTTAAACAAGATAGCAGCAAGGATCAGCCTTGTTTGATTCCTCTTGACAAACTTTCTTTCCAAACAGAGGTTTTCTGGGCTCGCCTACAGGGACAGCCTGTTAAGTAAAACAGACTAATATGGCTAGTACCTTATTCTGCCAAAACTTTCTGAAAGAGAAATCTATTTATATTTTCTTTATTATCTACTGAAATGCAGATACCGGCTGATATTGCTGCTAGTCCAATTTCAAAACAGAAATATAATATGAAATGTGGAGTTTGTCTGAAATCAAAAGCAGAGCTCAGACTAGGTTTCCTAGTGCCACTATTCATTGGAACAGGGGTGGCTTGATAAACACCTTTGAGCTTGCTTATTGACTTTGTTGCTGCAAAGCCATTAGAGATTTGGCAAGAAAGGTCAATGGCATCTATTAGAAAAATCACAAGGGAGTTGCAAATGTGGTGGGCATGAGTGAATTATTTATTTATTTATTTATTTAATTTTTGAATTAATCGGTGCTCTTTACATTGTTATTAAATGCAATGTTATGTTATTTTTTGTTACACTTGCGTGTGTGTGCAGAGGGGGTGTATAAAATCATTGAAGCTTTCTTCTAGCTACACATCCCTCGTGCAGTGTTGTGATTGAAACATCAGATAGGAACTAGGTTTGAAATGGTTCAATCAATTAGCTTGCAAAGACAATAATCATGTTTGACATAATAATCAATAACATTCCTCAACTTGCTAACTGATTTGGTAAAAAAAATTGAATGAGACAAAGAACCAAGGAGACTGTGAGAGAACTGGATTACAATACTTCCTTCCTTCCTTCTTTCAAATCACTGAGGCAGTTCAGGAATTTTTTTATTATTATTATTTACCTTATTTATATCCCACCATTCTCTACCCCGAAGGGGACTCAAGGCTGCTTACAATCACACTTTCATGGTGCTTTAAAACATACCACATCAGTTAAAACATAAGTTAAACATTAAAGCATAATAAGAATAATAAAAATACATTTCAATGAATCACATCATACAGAGTCATAGTCTAAAGGCCAATCCATAATCAAATTGCACATATGCAGCCACTGTGCTGTCCAGTGCCTTGAGACAGAGAGATACAATTCACTCTCTAAGGGAAAGTCAAGGAAGGGGGTAGCAGTTAGGAAAATGAATAATAATAATAATAATAATAATAATAATAATAATAATAATAGTTACTATTTATTTGTTATCTGCATCTCATCAAGGGTATAACATAGTTAAAATAAACAGATAAAAACATAAGGCAATTACAGGTATTCAAAGCATTATCGGGGGGGGGGGGAATTCAACAAAAGTCAAGCAGTCAAGAATTAAAATGAAAAATGTGATTTTCAGGGAGCATTTACATCAAAATCTAATGCAGAAAGATTTTTTTTAAAATGGGTTTAATGTTGATACACAGATCAATATGACTATATACACATAAAATTGAATACATTCTTCATTTCTACATTAGTGAAAGTGGGAAGGTGTCTCTGTAGTAAAATTACATTTCAGGGAATTATTCTGAACAATTGAAAATACAGCATCCAAATATTATGCAAGGAGAATGCTACTTGTGCAAAGATCATTTCTACATTCTATGCACCTATAACCACCTGAAATCAAATATATAGTCTCTAATATATTTAAAGAATACTCACATATTATGATTACATTTTGAGGACTGCACTGAGTATGAGAAACATTTTTTTTTTAAAAAAATGCACAAAGACCATGTATGGGCAGAGCTATGCTGTAAGATGCTGTCTATTCTCATTCTATGAGATGTTTTAATTGCTTTGGCATTTTTCTCATAGCTTCCTGGATGTCCTTGTTCCTGAGGCTATAAATGATGGGATTCAGAACTGGAGGCAAAACTGTATACAAAACAGCAGAAACAAGATCCACTGTGTGGGAAGAAAGTGATTTAGGTCTCATGTAGGAAAACACAGCAGTAACCATAAATAAAGAAAAGACCAGCAAGTGGGGAGTGCAGGTTGAAAAAGCTTTATACCTGCCTTGAGCTGATGGAATCCTTAGCACAGCAGATAAGATGTAACCATAGGAAACAAAAATGAAGCCTGCAATAAATGAATCTAGGATCGTGCCAAGGGCAAAAATCAGAATTTGATTAATTGTGGTATCAGTGCAAGAGATCTTTTGTAACTGGGGGACATCACAGAAATATTGCTGAATAATATTGGACTCACAGAAATTTAACTGAAAAGTCATACTGGTTTGTAACATTGCATGGATCAGGTTGCTTATCCAAGAAGCTGCTGCCATTTTGATGCATGCGGTACCATTCATGATCACACTATATTGCAGAGGTTTGCAAATTGCGACATAGCGGTCATAAGCCATTATTGTGAGTAATGCAAGCTCAGAACCTGTAAAGGTGATAACTAAGAAAACCTGAGACACACACCCAGCAAAAGAAATAAGAGTTTTGTTTGTTATAGAAGTAGCTATGGATTTTGGAAGAGTAGTGGATATGAAACAGATGTCAGACAGTGACAAGTTGACCAAGAAAAAATACATGGGAGTCTGAAGATTTATGTTGAGAGCCACAACTAGGATGATTATAAAATTCCCCATAACGGCTATTAAATATACAAAAAGAAACACTGTATAATGCAAAATGTGCATGTCATGGTCATCAGAAAACCCAATGAGAAGAAATTCAGTCACAGAAGTTCTATTGAGTCTCATATTCTGTTCAATCTTTATGCTGAAAAAAATGAATTATAGATAATTAGCTGTGCAAACCATATTAAGAAAATATTATTGCTCTGTGGTATTGGAAATAATCACCTACTGCAGAACTACAAATGGTTGGATGATGATGATGATGAAGTAATTAAGAGTAAAATCTCCATGTCTTTACTTTCTATTTCCTCTTATTAATGAATGGAAATTCATCTTAACTGTATTCTCAACAAAAAGAGAATTCAATCAGTTCTTTCCTCAATTCTACCTTAATTCTGCAATATGGAATGCAATTGTGGGCAAAATGTTTGTAAAAGATTCTTGCTCAAATACTCTGTACTTGTTATTATGCCAGCCTCTTTGTATTGTTGTGATATGCTTTTAAATCATTTCTGATATATGGTGGTGCTAAAATGAGCCTTAAATAGCAGGCCAATAAACATACCAACCCAAATCAAATAACCAATATGAGATTTAGAACCATATCAGGAGCAGACAACAACACATATAGTGCGTGTGCTGGAGACCCCCACTGAAAACCAGATGTTGTTGGTTATATTTTAGAAGATGCAATTGGCAATATCAAATCTGAGTAGTCCTTGCCTAAGAATCATTTGTGGGGTTGCCTGAGTCAAAAGGCAGCCTGAAAGCATACACACATACACACACTCCCAACATGTGAACTTTTGTAGAATGAGATGTCTGAGCAAACAGGTATAATTACTGGGGATAATTTAAGAAAATTTTACTTGCCTCTCATTTTGCTTGGAAGATAAAGTGAGAAATGGACTTCAGCATGTGCTGAAGGGAAACCTCTCCTTGGAAAATAAAACCTCTTTCTTCCTGCACAACAGAACTTTTATTTTTCCATTGATCCTATTCTTTCATCCATTTTTTTCACTGTCTGTTCAAAGTAGAAATCCTGAGCAAATGCATTCTGTCGTCTTTCTGAGGGATTTTATAAGAGTGTGTTCTATTTTTTAAGACAGGCAAATTAGCTTCATTGAGTGTCACTGAAGAGATATTATATGCACTGTAAATAGCCATAAGTGCAATAGCTCTGGTGTTTAGGGAAACCAGTCCTTGAAGAATAGCCAGATCCCATGAGGAAAGGCTCAATTCAACCAAAAAAGGTGCAAAGCACCCAACCTCATTTTTGTTTACATAACGTTTAGTTCCATATGGTTCTCCCAAACACTAACTTTCTTCAGAATCTTACGGACTTAATGTTATACAAATTAAAGAGCATGGCAAAAGGTGGAAAAAAAAAACAGGTTAAGATAAGCTGATTTTGAAGCAATAACAATTATGTCTTTACTAAAAAGCCAGAAAATGATAGCACACACAACAGAATAGCCTATTCAGTAGGCTTGTGCACAGATTTGGATTGGTCAGTTCCATTCGGCCAATCCAGCTTGTTCGGCTTGTTCGGATGGTTGTAATGGYAAGGGCTCAGTCACCATGATTTTTTTTTTGGCCTGAAAYGGTCCACATGGCTGCCGGGTGTGGCTTCTTCCCTTCTATTCAGGAGTATGTAGTGCATGCTTCCTTAACCGCGTTCCTCAAACCCAGACTCCTTTGAAGTCAAGTAAGGAAAGGGTCCCAGGAAAGGTGCATACTTCGTCTTGTTGCTCAAACCCAGACTTCCTTGAAAGGAAGAAAGGAAAGGATGCCAAGAACAGAAAGKGAGCCTTGTAASTTCCCCATTGYCTCCAATTGKCCAGATCTTCCTGGATCTTTTGGCTGCCTAGCCAAAAACWGATATTTCCATTGGCCAATTTTCAGGAGGCTCCCGAAAATGGATCTGGGTGCCCAATGAAATTTGGTTACCAAAAACGGATCACTCTCCAGCTGAATTGCATGAGCCTACTGTTCAGTATAAGCTGTTTCCCCAAAGAAAAAAAACAGGACAGTTAATCATTGATTGCTTTCTTGAATGCAAGAATGAGTTAATTTTCATGCCAGCAGTAGAGAGAGGTTTTAGAAAAAAATCCAATTTGTACTTTAAAATGAGGTTTGCCTTTTTCCAAGACCACCAGAGATCCAAGATGATAATGATGATGATGATGATGACAATGCTTGTTTTCTGAGCAGATTGAAGAGGAAAAGGCTGTATATTGCAGGTATCATGATGACACCATGAGATTATACAGAGAAAAGGGGAAAATCTTAAAAATGAAAATATGGAGAGATAAACAGATGAAATTAAATTATGTTTTTACTGATGTTTTAGAGAAAGAATGATCTGCTTGAATATTCATGCTGCATTTCACTTTGGTGTCCAACTGGGATGTTTTTGTCCTTGAATATGTTGAATATTTATATGTTTCTTTGAAGAATAAGCCTATTTTGAGTTTTTATTATAAATTTAAACAAATCAAAATAAAGGCAGACCAAAACTCAGGGAGAATATGTATCTTTAATTTTAGGTAATTTACTTATATTTTCCTTCTTTGCAATTACAGACATACACAATATTCTTAAAAAGAAAAAGATGCAACACCAACTCCCTACACACTGAGAATCAGTCAAAAGTTATTCTCTCTCTGTCAATCAATCAATTTTTATTACGATCAAAAGATCCAACTTGCTCAGTGGAAAAAGTGCACAGCAGATTCATAAACTGATGAGACCACATAAAAGCAGGATGAGTGCAATGCTACATGCATATGAACAACAGTAAAAACACTGCAAATTTATACAGGGCAAGTTTCAACCTGAGTCTAATACAGATAGTTGTCTTATCCTGTCTAACTCACAGAGAAAGTTGACAACAGCCAAGGTTACATGGGTGAAATTGTCACCTTGTATAAACTTTACTTGGAATTGGGCTGATCTAACAGGTAGTTTGAACACAGTGGGTTAATAATATGTAGCCAAGCCCGCTTGTAAAATCTGTGGGACAGTAAAATGTGATAAATGCAGTCAACATCCTGGTTATTACATGGGCAATGTCTTGCATGTATGGGACTTCCACAAATCTACCTCGAAGCACTTCAGATGGGAACACATTGCATCTTGCCTTGGAGAAAAGGCAGCAATATTTGGCCACCCCAAAGTTCTTAAGATAATTTGCTTCATGAACAGGCCCAGCATATACTCAGGGTGTTTGGGGAACAAGGTTCTCATCTGGTCAACATTAAAATGATGAGTAAGATTCACAGGAAATATTTCATCAAACTAATGAAGACTTTTTAAAAAAAATAATATAGAAATTTAATGGGGATATGCAAATCAATTATACATTCATACAATGAAATAAATTGCTCCCTCTACATTAGTAGGACAGGGAGTAAGGATCTAAAAGGTTCAGGATTCTGAGCATTTCCGTTCAGGATTCTGAGCATTTGGAGAAACAGCATCCAAATGTGCAAGAATAATGTTACTTATATAGAGAACATTACTACAGTTCATGCGCCTATTATTCCATGAAAGCCTGTAAAGAGCCTCTCATGTCATGAAATCATTTGGATTAGTGCTACTCAGTATAGTAACCCATGGTTTTATCCTCCCATGAACTTTGTCCTGGACCAGACCATACCACAGCATTTTATCCAAATTAAAAGAATATTTGGAAAAATCAGCCACAATAAAAATAGCACACAATTAGTAACTCATCTTTTTATAGCATGTGATGGTGAAATGACATTATTCATAGTGTCACTGCAATAATAATGATATGTCAGAGCAGAATGCATATGCAGTAGATGATTGAAAAGGTAGCATCGTGTAGAACTGCAGCTTTTTATGTCTTTTGAAAGTATATATAAGCTAAACTTGCAAAAATGGTTATAGTTATATATATATATGGTTATTATTTAAGACAAAAATAATACATTTCTGATGAAATATTTTCAAGTTTGAGCTGCCATTGAGATGAGAATCACAGCAGATTTTTAAATTTCCTTTGCATTCTCCATATAGCTCCTTGGATATCTTTGTTCCTGAAGCTATAAATGAGGGGATTCAGAACTGGAGGCAAAACGGTATATAAAACAGCAGAAACAAGGTCTACTGTGGGGGAGGAAAGTGATTTAGGTCTCATGTAGGAAAACACAGCAGTAACCATAAATAGAGAAAAGACCAGCAAGTGGGGAGTGCAGGTTGAGAAAGCTTTATACCTTCCTTGAGCTGACGGAATCCTTATCACAGCAGATAAGATGTAACCATAGGAAACAAAGATGGATCCAGCAATAAATGAGTCCAGAATCATGCCAAGGGCAAAAATCAGAATTTGGTGAATTCTGGTATCAGAGCAAGAAATCTTTTCTAATTGAGGAATGTTACAGAAGTATTGTTGAATATAATTGGACCCACAGAAATTTAAATAAAAAGTCATACTGGTATGCAATGCAGCATGAACCAAGTTGCTTACCCAAGAAGCTGCTGCCATTTGGACGCACACAGCTCTATTCATGATTACATTATATTGCAGAGGTTTGCAAATTGCAACATAGCGGTCATAAGCCATGATTGTTAGCAAAGTAGACTCCGATCCTGTAAAGGTGATAACTAGGAAAACCTGGGCTACACATCCAGCAAAAGAAATCAGTCTGTTGTTTGCCACAAAAGTAGCTATAGATTTTGGAACTGTGGTTGAGATAAAGCAAATGTCTGTCAGTGACAAGTTGGCCAAGAAAAAATACATGGGAGTTTTAAGATTGTTGTCGAGAGCAACAGCTAGAAGGATGATCAAATTCCCCATGATGGATATTATATATACAAAAAGAAACATTACATAATACAAAATCTGCATTCCATAATCATCAGAAAATTCCATAAGAATGAATTCTGTCACAGACGTTCTATTCAGCTTCATATTTTGTAGAACCCTTTAACTGAAAATATGAATAATAGAGAATTAGTTATGCAAACATCACCAAGAAAATACAATTGACTTGCAATATTGGAAATATTCACCTACTGCTGAATTAAATATAAATATGCCACTGCTGTTGTTGGTTATAAATATGAAACTTTGAGTCTAATATCTATTTTTTTTACATTCTCTTCTCCCTTCTGTTTCAAATTAATGTTCCCAAAGTGAATGCTAAGCAAGTCCCTTGAATCATTCATGATTTTAAAATATGTTTATATTCCTTGCTTACACTAATGAATTTCCCAACCTACTTTAATTCTGGAATATGCTGATGCTGTTTCTAAATGCATTTGTAGGAAGAATGTTGGATGTGGATTTGGACTGGATGCAAGTATTGGCTTGATAATAATGCTTTAGATTGTTTTTAATTTACTGTTTAAACTCTGTTATATTTATTGTATCTGTTTTTAATGTTTCGGCATTGAATTGCTGCCAGTGCAAGCTGCTCTGAGCCCCCCCTTGGGGGTTGAGGAGGGCAGGGTAGAAATGTTAGAAATAGTAAATAAATAAATAAAATGTTAGGAAGATAATTGTTCGCACAATCCCTCCTTGTTGCAATGTCAGTCTATTTATATTGTTGCTGTTCTGTGCCTTCAAGTCATTTACAACATATGGCAATGCTATGTCAAAGCTTAGATATTTGTAAAAACTAGGTCAAGACATACACTGACTTGAATCAAGAAACAAACATAATTGCTCCCCTCCCCCACCATACATGAGTGGAAGGAGGGATTTTTGCTCCTTTTCAATGAAGGGAGAGGTAAAATAGTCCTGGCTGGGACTTTCCTGGGGCATGGTCAGCGTGGTCATGTGGTCCCGCTCTGCATTCCTGCTTTTGCATTGACTCACCCCCCCCCCCGCCCATTAACAGTGTACTTTAGGGGTTGCCACTGGGGTTGGGTAGGAATTTTTCCCCGTTAYGTTCTTCGGGGGAGGGGGTTGGCCACCCTATATTGTTCATTAAGGGCTAGTTGCAATCAAAGAGGCAATCATGTGGGGAAACAGGGATAGGTTTACATCCTGGTGTGTACCTAAGGCACCCTTTTGTGTTGTAGACTATGAATGAGAACCCTCACCTGTGGTTAAAATATCTGAGGGAGAGTTCTGGTCCCAATATACTTTGGAATTGGGACAGAATTCTCCATCCGTTTCACTGAGCGGTTGTTCTGGAATCAGCAGTTTGTTTCTTATGGTGACCCAGGTGTCTTGCTCATGGTAGTTGAGGAGTGGGTCTTGGATGGTCAGTATCCACTGACTCAGCTGATAACACACCAAGCTCATGCCCTTTAAATTGGTTGGCAAGTTACATAGAGGTTGATTGGTAACATTAATAAAAGTTGTCAATAGTTTAACCCACACAGTTGTGTTGACTCATTATTTTGGTGGTTTGGGAGCAATTAGAATAATATTGAACATTTCAAAACCATCAGTAATATTAGATACCTACTGATATACCTCTAATGTCAGAATTAACCCCTCCCACATGTGTAAAGGAAAGATCACATATACATTTCACTTCCCAAATCTTGTCTCCAATGTGATATTCATGCAGAAATCCCAACTCTGTCATATGGGATGTCAAGCAAGATGTGTAGTAAAGGAAGTTTTGTTGATGGAGACTTTAATGGTAAATTAAATAAGCCTAGAGAGAGGTGAAAATGTGTAAAGTAACTGAAAATAGATTTAAAGATGGGTTTCTAGTTTCAATAAACAAGTTGAATTGTCTGAGGTACTCAAAAATGCAAGAAAAAGCATCAGTGTACGCTACAGCTAACAAATACTTATCATTCTGGATTTAATAAATGCAACATAGTATGGTGTGTGTGTGTGTGTGTGTGTGTCGGGGGGGGGGGGGTGTTTGAAAGAACATAATTATTCAGGAGAATCTTAACTTTGTAGCATTAGAAAAATGGCTAGATAACCAGATAGATCCTTGTTAGGTTCATCTACAAAAGGAATCCAGATCTCATTCAACCCTTTTCTTTAGTTAAATAAACAACACATAGAGTTATGTCTTTCTTTTCCCCTGACAAGAATGGGGATCACACTATCCTTCATATATGCACCAGGAATATAGAAAGATAAATAAGACACAAATAATACAGCCAGTGTTCTTTGGTTACACCTCAATGCTATCATGTATCACTCAGGTTCTGAAACATTAGAAATGAGAAAGAAAAATGTCTTTTTTTCTTTCCACTGATTTGTACTTGGATGAGAGGCCACCAACAAATCTGAGATGCTATATGATATAGATCAAGGGTCCTCAAACCTTTTAAACAGAGGGCCAGGTCACAGTCCCTCAAACTGTTGGAGGGCCGGATTATAATTTGAAAAAAAAAACATGAATGAATTCGTATGCACACTGCACATATCTTATTTGTAGTGCAAAAAACAATACAATAATTAACACGAAGAACAATTTTAACAAATATAAAGTTATTAGTATTTCAATGGGAAGTGTGGACCTGCTTTTGCTGATGAGATAGGGTTGTTGTTGTGTGCTTTCAAGTCATTTCAGACTTAGGATGACCCTGTGCGAGGGCCAGGTAAATGACCTTGGAGGGCCGCATCCGGCCCCCAGGCCTTAGTTTGAGGACCGCTGATATAGATCATAGAAAGCAGGCCACCTCTGATTGTTCCTTTCCTAAGAAACCCCTATAAAATTCATGGAGTTGTCATAACTCAGCAGGTAACTTGAAAGCATGCACACATACATAATATGTAAGCAGCACACACACACACACTCAGCCTGCCAGTCTTTATAGAATGGAAATGTTGGGCAAAACATTTATTTCATCTTTACTGAGAATAATCAAAAGAGTTCTACTTGCCTCTGTGTTCTGGAATATTAGGTTGACAATAGTCTTCTGTATGGGCTTCTCTGAGGAGATAATAGTGGAAGAAGTCAAATCCTCTGTTGTCTATGGTGATAACCCTTCATTGGAAAATAAAAACTCTATCTCTTCTAAAAAAGAAGTCTTGTCTTTCCATAGATCCTATTCTTCTATCTACTGTTTCATTGTTTGTTCAGAGTTTAACTCCTAAATAAATGGGTTCCATCAACTTTCCAGGAGATTTTCTAAGACATTGAGCCTTGTGCTTCTCGGAAGATAGGAATGTAAGTTTCATTGAGTGTCATGGAAGACACATTATGTACATTATGAAGACACATAAGTGAAAGTGCTTATATTATCTCTATTTTCTCTGGTGTTTCAGGGAATTGGTCCTCAGAGAATATCACAGATCCTCTGAGAAACAGCCCAATTTAAAAAATAAATATGTTGCACAGCACCTAAATTTCCCTTTCTTATTTTTCACAAAACTTACATATTCCACTCTTATTCCCAGATGGTTACCGTGATCGGTTGGCATGAGATATGGATTCCAGAGGTGCTTTGCTTCATTCCCTTCCTTATTCCTTCTTCCATAGTATGGCAGACTATTGCCTAAATTAAGTTCTAAAACTGTTTTCTCAATTGTGAATTATTTGGTTCTGTGATGAGCAGTTACTTGGAAATATTGACATCATTTTAAATGGGATCTTTTTTAGAGGGTGCAAATTGAAAAATATATTTCAGTAGGGTTAGTGACTGTAAATAATGGTGACTGTAAAATTCTTATAGCTTTACAGATTGGGCAGTATGCTTAGGAGATTTCAGTATGACCCTTGTTTACTAGGCCTGGGTAACAACGGAAAAATTTGTTTCTAAAATCGATTTGTATTTGGGGGGTTTTTTTGTTTCGATATTTAAAATAATTACAAAATTTTCCTTTTAAAAAGTTCGATATTTACGAAATTTCGTAAATGGTAAAAAATTAATGAATCGATTTCCGAAACAATAACGAATCGATTCGTTAATGGCGGACGCGACCGCGAAATACGCTAAAAAACCTCCAAAACCTTCTGAAGCTTCCCTCTCCCTCTGTGGTTGACTGTTGGTGTGATATTATAATTTTTTTTCACTAATTAAACCATAAAACTGGCCCAGACATGCGGAAATAATAACGAAACGACCTCAAAACAATAACGAAACGAATACAATATCGAAATACGAAGCATTTACAAAACGTTTTTGAAAATTCGTTTTTTTAATAATTGCTCCAGAATGGTTCGTTATCGTTTTGTAATTGAAAAAATTAACAAATTATTAACGAATTACGAATTAACGAAACGAAACCGCCCAGCCCTATTGTTTACTATTAACTGCTTGACAATTCGGGTATTTATTTATTTATCGTGTCATCCGCAACCAGACCATTCGGGTAATGCAACAATACATTGTGACTGGAAATTAGGGTTCAGAAACTGTTATGCCTTTGTTTTGTGTTTTCTGATTAAATGGATATTTTAATTATATCAGAGCACTGTACAATTATCAGATAATTGAAATCCACATGGGTTATCTGTGTTATCAAAATACAAAATATATGATGAGCTGAACTATAATAGGAAGGTGTGCATAAACATTTGTTTCTTCTATATGTGCTAAAAACATCTCAATAGTAATAGTTGGTGCATATCTAAAATCATGGTTGAAAATGAACTGCACTATCATGCCCCAAACCAACCAACAACAAAGATCTGTGTTGCACACCAGAGAAACATGGATGGCCACCAGTAGAGCTTGTTCAAAGGACTTAGAGGACTGAATAGGGCAGTAGTTCTCAACCTGGAGGTTGGGACCTCTGGGGAGGGGGGTTCATGAGGGAGTATCAGAGGGATCCCCAAAGACTATTGAAAACACAGTATATTCCGTTGGTCATAGGGGTTCTGTGTGGGAAGTTTGGCCCAATTCTCTTGTTTGTGAGGTTCAGAATACTCTTTGATTATAGGTGAACTATAAATCCCAGCAACTCCCAAATGCCAAGGTCTATTCACATTTGGGCAGCTTGAATATTCATGCCAAGTTTGATCCAGAACCATCATTATTTGAGTCCACAGTGCGCTCTGGATGTAGGTGAACTCAAAACTCAAGGTCAATGACTACCAAACCTTTCTGGTATTTTCTGGTGGTCATGGGAGTTCTGTGTGCCAAGTTTGGTTCAATTCCATCACTGGTGGAGTTCAGAATTCTCTTTGATTGTAGGTGAATTATAAATCCCAGCAACTACAAATCCCCCCAACCCCACCAGTATTCAAATTTGGGTGTATCAGGTATTTTTGCCAAATTTTGTCCAGTGAATGAAAATACATCCTGCATATCATATATTTACATTATAATTCATAACAGTAGCAAAATTACAATTATGTAGTAGCAAGAAAAATAAGTTTATGGTTGGGAGATAACCACAACATGAGGAACTGTATTAAGAGGTGGCAGTATTTGGAAGGTTGAGGACCATTGGAATAGGAGAAGGTTATTGCACTTTTAACATGGTGCTCAGGTCTTCGTAAGATAATACCAAAAGCTTGAGGTCAAGATTTTACCCACTTTTAGCAGCAGACTAGTTACCATGGATTCCACAGGTTCTAAGTGTGCAAAAGGGCTGCAAGTCTTTGGGTTCACCTGTTGTGCTACAAATCAAAAGTTAGAATACACTTATGCTACTTCTGAGAAAGAGGAATTTATTGTTCAATAATTTTCATCCTAGTTTAGTGTTCTCATATAAATATGACCCAGATCTTACATGGTTCCCAAAAGAAATGCAGTGCCATTCATTTAGTAGAAGTATTTACATCTTTTCAACAAATATGTGAAAGGTCACCCCACATGGAAACTTGTACCAACTGCAGGTTTTAGATCACCCACTTGGGCAACTCAATAATGAATGCATTGCAATATTTCAGCATTAAGATTCTCAATATTCAGGCAAGCTATCCTAGACTAAGAATCGCAGCTGAGGTATTGGTTGTTGTTGTTGTTGTTGTCTTTTTGATGCCCTGCTTTTCTCCCCATTGGAACTCATGGAGGCTAACAATCCCACACTTAGATCATAGTTTAAAAACTGCAATACAAAAATAAAAACAAATAAATAATATTGTGTGGATTAACGTAAAAAACAGGGTATACTATAATAAAAACATTTAAAATAGCCTTTTAAACCCACAATCTTTGCTCTCCAGAATCCTGCTCGCACCTCCCCAGCAGCATGCCCCTTATTCTACCCAAATGCCTGCTGGTAGAAGAAGGTCTTCACTCACTTATGGATAGCCAGAAGGTATGGGGCCAGTAGGGATACCCTTCAAAAATTATAAAAGATGCTGAAAACCATTACAATTCCCTGGACCTTAGGTGATAAAGATGGAGAACAAATGTATCCATAGTGCTCCCTGTAATCTTTCAGAGAAAGGGCAATCATATCAACAGTTTATACAGCTTCTAGATGTTTACAAACACCCATTCAGAATGTTTGTTGTTAGAAGCAACCCAGCAACTTTATATATTCTATGTCAATATTTCAGCATTGGTTGAGGATCCACGCAGCCTACATGTGTGAAAAAAATAGAGCTGCATATTCTTGCAAGTTGTACTGATCATCCATTTGGGTAGCAATAACATGCATTTAAGGAAAGGAAAAACTCTTATCATTTAGGCCATAAAAGATTTTGGAATATTCAGGATATGTGGCCAACACCTAAATTAGTTTAATCAGACCTCATTTCACTACAATGATGGCCTGGAACAATTGATGTTTTTAGTATCTGGCACCTCGATGTGGCTCAGAAAGGAGTCAACAATGAGATAAGACCTGCAATGCAAAATGGACAAGGTTTTTATATTCCCCACTCTAAAATTGTTTAGGAAAGATAGAGTCAACCTATCCAATTTGAGAAATAACTTGTTTCTTGGTGATATGCAAAGGGTGTAAAATGCTCTGTGGGTCATAGGGACGAAGCAAAGTCCTGTGCCCTAGCTGCGGTAAAAAAAATTGGAGGGGGATATGAATTGGTGAGCATCTTCAGGCATATTTGGTGTGTATTTGTGAACTGTAGGTGAAGGATGGGAATTTGGAACCCTAGAGGGTCATACGTTCAAGGAATTGGGTATAAATTTGATGATCTTGGGCTGATATCCGGATCTTTTCCCTCACCAGAGACCAGGTGGCTGGAGATTTTCCACCTTGTGGTCAGTCTTTCCAGTGTCTAGTCTGAGTGAGACTTACTGCTCCTGCTGCCTCCAAACCAGTTTTTCTCCCCCACATCTTGCTTTGCATATCCTCAATAAAATAAATAAATAAGTAACAATTAGCATTAATTAGGTAACACTGAATAAAGTTGCCATTATTAGCTCATATCTTGTGTCTGGTCTCTTTATTTCTTTGGTGGGACAACAAATTGTGGTGTTCTCCGGGGAAATAATGTTCATTTCTAGAAATGTTTTCAAACAAGCAAGGGAAGGAAGAAAATCTTACAAGCATTATTTACATTTACATCACATTTTTTTTCTTCAGAGCTTAAACAATTCAAGTGCTGCACTCCTAATACCCAAGAGTTTTTTTATGGTCTCATTAAAAAGTAAACTTAGGCTATTGCTTCTGATAGTGTATGAGATTGCTACCTTGAGTGTTTTCTTGAAGAAACAGGCTAACAATATCTCACAAGTTGCAGCACTAACTATCATGACAACAAAGGAACTGTGTTGGATGGATGGTCCACTAGATGAAATGGAAACTTAGATTTTGGGTACAGAGTAAGGTATTTGTTCCAAATTTTGAAACATGTTATGCATGAATATTACATCTTTGGAGTTTCTGTCTATATAGTGGACAAGTCATGTCTGGATCTAAGATTTTCCACTGGGTTCATGGGAATTTAGTACTTTTCTTTTAGCCAGATTGTGCACTTTAGGGATGAAATCTTTTTACTTAGAGGTAAAATATATGAATGCCAAAAAAAATTGCTTAGATTTTACTGTATTTTATAAAGGAAGTACTTAGAAATGCACCTCTGGAAATTTATTGTGAAAAATCAAAAATATGCATAGGTACGCGACTGGGTGTTCTCCAAACAAATTTTGAATTTAGACAATGTGGTAAAATGAAATTCAAGTGATAGCAGAACAGTACAGTTTGATATTTGCACATTTGATAATCCAGTTCAGTTAAGTGAAACTTCCTTGCAGGTAAAAGGATAGAGTATAGCCTTCTTTGGATTACACTCTGTTAGTGCTATGGAGGTTTCAGTTGACTTTATTATCCAGTTGACTTTATTATCTTCTCATATTATATCACTTAAAATATAATTAAATATACTGTAGAATCAATGGGTTCTCTGCTGATTTTTACACTTTCTTGTCCCACCACTCCTTTTTTGCTTTATATATAGCACTGAACACTTGTTCTCTCTTCTCAGCACAGATTTTAGAAATTTGCTTATGGACCAGAATCCCTTCATTTTATTTTCATTTCAGACCATTTATGATGATCAGATCTGTCAATTGAAGTGTATCATGTTTCCAGTCTCCAAATGAAACTAAGCAATTCTGGACATTGTAAAAAAACGCAATTATATTGAAATATAACAGTAGAAGAAATGATACTGGAGAAATAAAATTGCTATTTTTCCATTTCCAGGTAACCGCCACTACATAACTAAATGGATGTGAATAACTTCACAAGTGGAGTTACAAAATTTGTCTTTGTGGGGATCTCACAAAATCGAGAATTGGAACTTTTCCTCTTTGTTTTCTTCTTGATGGTATACATGAGTACATGGTTAGGGAATGTCACCATCATCGTTACTGTAATATTTGATCATCACCTCCACATGCCTATGTATTTCTTTCTGGCCAACTTGGCTTTTTTAGATATTAGCGAATCCTCGGTTACTGCTCCTAAATTGCTGCAAATCCTCTTTTCAATGCAGAAGACCATCTCCTTTCATGGATGCTTGACACAGATGTTCTTTTTTCACTTTATAGGAGGCACTGTTGTTTTTTTCCTTATGGTGATGGCAGCTGATCGGTTCTTGGCTATTACCAAACCTTTGCAATACACAATCATCATGAAAAGAACTGCATGTCTAGGGTTCATTGTGGGTGCTTGGCTGGGTGGTTTTGTTCATTCCATTGTTCAGCTGGCATTGATAATACAGTTACCATTTTGTGGTCCCAACATATTGGATAATTTTTATTGTGATGTTCCACAGGTGGTGAAGTTGGCCTGCACAGACATCTACACAGTTGAGCTCCTTATGGTATCCAACAATGGGCTTGTTACCACAGGAACATTCATTGTTTTACTAATTTCATACAGCATTATTTTGTTCAAGATTCGGAACCATGTCTCACAAGGAAAACATAAAGCTCTTTCAACATGTGCTGCCCAAATCACAGTAGTGAGTTTACACTTTATCCCATGCATCTTTATTTATGACCGTCCTTTTAGGAAATTTAGAGGAGATAAAGCAGTGTCCATTCTCTATACAGTTATCACACCAATGCTGAATCCCATCATCTACACATTGAGAAATACAGAGATGAAAAATGCTATTAGAAGGTTAGTGGGCAAAGTGTTGAAGATTTCTCAGAAGGGATGAGAAATTAAATTTAAAATTGGGATGTGCTTTGATTTTGTAGACTAAGAAATCTGATTTCTTATTAACTTGCAATAATCATATTAGAAATATGAAAGGTGTCTTTAAGAATAGTGATCTTTTGTTAAACTGTTCCGTAACCAGAAAACATATTTCTGTGCTACAGACTAGATTAGTTGTCACTATCTATCTGACACATATGTAGGTTGAGCATGCATTATTCAGAATTCCACATTACTCCAAAATCAAAAATTGTTTACATGGGTGGCTCACACAGTGATACTATTGCTTTCTGAAGGTTCCAAATACACAAACCTCATTTTATAAAAATATAAGAGTATAAAATATTGTGTTTAAAAATACCTTCAGGTCAGGCATAAGGTGTATATGAAACATAAATTAATGTTGTGTTTATATTTGGATCCCATTGCCAAGATAGCTCATTATGCAAACATTACAAAATCTGGAAAAAAAATCTGAAAAATCAGATTGTTTTTATCCCAAGAAATTCGAACAAGGGATGCACAACCTGTAAATCTGTGACCCATCCAACCAAAAATACTCCATAACTTAAATTGATGACTAACATTTTAAAATTAGTCCTAGAACCTGAAAGTAATTGGCAAGGAATGCTAGGTCAATTATCTGTTTCCACTCTTCTACAGAAAGACAAATACATTTTTATCCAAACAAAGTTAGTCTATTCTGGAAATCAGTCTACCTGGTTGGGTGCTCTTTTATTGTATTTTTCATTAATTTGTTTAATTTAGAATTGCTGCTTTTAATCTATGTTTTATTAGTGTTGGATGTGCTGAAGAACGTCTTCATTGAAAGGCAGAATAACAATTGACAATAAATAAAATAAATACACTTTCTGTACACACTGCTTCTCCCATACTGCAAAATGCCGGCAATGGAATGTGTCTAGGTCTGAGATACAATGCAGAGGAAAACAACTCATGCCTGAGGATGTTAGTCCTTTTTTTCTCACCTATCTTCCTCCTTGTGATATATCACAATTAAATTTCTAATATCTGCTTGAATTTGGCATGCTGTGTAACCTTATGATAAATGTAGAGGGTTGCAAAGTGGAGGAAAATGTTAAGCACTCAATTGAAATAGGGGAAGAAAGTATTTAGATCATATCTGGTAGATAGTTGTGACTTGTGAGCTGTCCACAAATGTGCTAAGGATCAATTCTCATCAGACTGCTGTTCAGAGTGGATCAAAACATATTTGAGTTGGCTCATATTAAGCACAGCTGTATCCTGATGTTGGAGGAGAGGGAAAGAGAAAATGATGGTTTAATCCAAGACAATCCAATTCGACTATGGAAATGGTCATCATTTCCTAGGGATATGACCAATGTTCAGTGTCTGTCAGTGGAATGTGTTCTGTTTGATTGTAGATTTACATCTTGTATGGGAATGTCGGAAGATATTATAGGAATCACTAGTCAAGCTAATAAAAACCAGAATGAATTTTCAGAAATGACTAAAGACAATATTTGTTAGCTTAAATGTGTTAATTCCTGAGTGATTAATGCTAGGATTTCAACAGATGGACACTGATGGTGCTGTCTTCTGGAAAATTTCCTGATGGTATTGTCTAGATAGTATTGGGAACGGGTCAAAATTATATACTTATTCTTTTGCATACAAAATTCAGAAGTGAAGTTTCTAATTCTATTGTAGAATACATATTCCACCAAATCCAATTTTATTGAATGAATAAAAGGAAAAGGAGAAAAAAAGGAATGTGTCTGTCTGTATATATCTGTGGTATTGCATTTTCTTTCCCCATGGTCAAATACAACTAGTTATTATTAAAGACCTGGTCATTGCTAATTTCAATCTTCATTCCACTCAATACTTTGCTCCCAATGCAAATTGAAAACATCTTCCTTAAGAGTATGCTGCATTGTTATTTGCCAGTATAAACAGATTCTGGGATTGTATGGCAATACCGAATTTTCTTTCTTCCTTAGTTTTAGTTTTAGGGGACATATTGCCTTTGTATATTGTTAGCATTTCTGCACACAGAGAGAGTGGTGTCACCATGATAGAATAAATAAATGCCTAATCACCACTAGCTCATGTTGGTTAGTATTCTATGTTTAGCAAATAGCATCTCAACATTATTATTATTATGGGATCTCAGAATTATTCTTCCCAACACTGAGAGAAAAACTGCAATAACTGGCCAAGTAAAGTGTCAATCAAGATGGTAGGTAAATGTCTTCTGTATTATAGATATTTTATTTCCCTATATTATTTTGTTTAAATAATATTTTAGATCTTCTTTGATGGGAAGAATTTTGGTGGGGAAAGGATGATTGAAGAACTTTATCATTTTTATTCATATATGATAAAATTGGGATTCATTCATTGACTACAAGGTGTAATAAATTCCTAATGAGATGTTGCTATTTTCCCCCAAATTTCAGCTAGTCCATCAACTTCTAAAGAAACCTCTCTAGCTCCCAAGAACTGGAACAAGTATTGACCAATTGCTGATATCCCCAGGGGTCCATTTTCTTGAGCACAAGAAATCAGCTTTGAATTATACTGATACCATCCAGTTGTTGGACTCTATTCAGTGGTTTGGCACCAAGTGGTTTGGCACCAAGGCAACATCTGTACAACTCAGAGCAGTGTAGGAAGAGCAGCCATAAAATCAAGAGTGGATTTTCTGCCCCATGGCAATAGTTTCACTGGCTATCCCACCTTAACGTGGTAGTTATTGGTAGATTGGTGCTTCTTCAATGTCAAAGTAATTGGAGAAGATTAGCTTGGGCAACTGTATGTACCAGATTTTAAAGGATTAGATCTCCTTCTCTCATGCTACCATGGCTGATGGTACTACCTGCACACAAACAAGATGGTGTCATACCACCTAAGTAGAAAACAGTTGCTCAGTAGTTTACCACAATACAATTTGGTAGTACTGCTGTAAGTTAGTTCACTATGTCCTGCCCAAAAATTTCCTGAATTTTATTTTTGCTTGTGATTTTTTTGTCAAGAATCCCTATTTCTCTTTCACTTAACTGCAGCTTTGATGGCTAAAGACTCAATATGTGAAAACTATAACTACAATCAGTAAATACATTATAAAGCAATTGGCATCTACAGTATTTTAAATATATAGTAATAAAACCTAGAAGTTCTTATCCCAACCAAACTTATAGTATGTGCAATGATATTTTAGGTCAATATATAATGAAGACACTTTGAGAACCAATTTAGTGTAATAGCCTGAATGTGGACCACTATTTTGGGAGAAGATCTTTGCTCTTCCGAGCAAAAAAACCCAAAAACAACTGAGTTAAACGATCAAATTACACTTTTAGTAGAAAACAATGATAATAACAATTACAAAAACAACAACAACAACAACAACAACAACAACAACAATACTTTATCTATATTCCGCTCTATCACCCCAAAGGGACTCAGGGCAGATTCAAAACATAAAAGGCAAACATTCAATGCCTGAATACAACAACAATACATCCATACTAACAAAATTTATACAACCCAACATATAAACACAAATTATAACGTAACAAACTAAAATTAAATAAAAAGCACAGCCTGTTATAACAGACGTAAGACAAAACATCTTCTCAATAAATCCCACTCCCCCATGACCTTGATAGACTCACATATTGGCAAATAACTTGTTGCCACAAAAATGGAGACACACAGATTTCGAAGTTGGGAACTGTATTTTTTATTGTGGACCACATCTTGAAGTCATTTAGGTGTGTTTCTCTGTGTGTGTGTGTGTGTGTAAAGTTAAAAAATACAAAACTTAAGATGATAGAGGTAGTGGTGGGAAATTCTCTGATACAGAAGCTGGATCCCTGAAATACATATTTTAGCCTTTTGTGGAAAGATGATTTCCTAATAAAAGGAAAGTTGAAATTTTTGAGCAATTATCTTTTGAAAGGAGTGGTCTCTTCTAGTCAGCCAACAGACCTTCCAATATTAAATATTTAACAGAGATCTTATGAACATAAAGATTCTTTTTGAAAATGAAACAGATATGGAGTACAAAATAATTGCTCATCACAAATACATTCAGACCTTTAATGCTATCTATACAAGTAAAGCCACTGTGATGCAATGGTCTGGGCACCAGGGTTCAAATCCCCACTCAGCCCTGGAAACTTACTGGGTGATCTTGGGCATATCACACTATTTCAGTCTCAGAGGAAAACAATGGCAAGCCCTTTCTGAACAAACCTTGTTTAGAAAATCTTGCAATAGATTCCTCTTAGGATCCCCTAAGGCAGAAATGGCTTGTAGATACACACAACATTAATGGAAACTGCAAAAATAGCTAATAACTATTTCAAGTTTTCATATGATTAGTATGACTGTCTGAGTGTCTGTGTGATGAATGTATTATGGTTGTTCCTTTTTTGTGTGATGAAGACATTTTTTCATTAGTTTTTTAATGTTGTTTTTCATTTCTGAATTGCGTAAAGTGAAGATCACTGAATTCAGCATTGGTGTCAGAAGGCTGTAAAGAACTGAAGCAATCTTGTCTTGAGGAAATAACTTGAAAGGTCGATCATAAATAAACATTCCTGGTACAAAATTTAAACTCATAACTAAGATCTGAGCAGTACAAGTGGAGAGAGCTTTGTGTTGTCCTTCTGCAACATGTGTTCTTATCTTCACCAAGATAATAGTGTAGGACACAAGTAAAGTGAAGAAGATTAATGTCAAGAGTAGTCCACTGTTACAAACCATAAGGATTTCTATTATGTGTGTGTCAATACATGCTAACTTAATGAGTTGCGGGACATCACAGTAAAAATGATCCAGAATATTGGATTCACAGAAGGGTAATTGAATAAGAATGATGATCTGAACAATTGAATGAGCAAAGCCTCCTAACCATGTTCCTACTACCAAACCTATACAAACTCTTGAATTCATTATCACCATATATTGTAGTGGCCTGTAAATTGCTATATATCTGTCAACAGCCATTGCAAGAAGCAAGAAGACCACAGCACCCCCTGTTAAATGAAAGAAAAAAACCTGTGCCACACACCCATTGTATGTGATACTATGGGTATGAGAGAGAAGGTCCCATAACATTTTGAGTGATGTGACAGTTGATTCACTTATGTCTATGACAGCCAAATTAGCTAACATAAAGTACATGGGTGTATGAAGACTGGGTGTGATGATCACTGTAATAATAACTATGAGATTACCCAGCCAGGTTGTGATATAGATAAAAAGAAAGAGAAAGAAGAGAAAGGACTGCATTCTGGGATTTTGTGACAGGCCCAGGAGAATAAATTCTTTCACTGCTGTACTGCTGTTCTCCATCATAGCATTCTCTTGGTTTCTTCAGGAAGATCTAGGGGACATTAAAATAATTCCATCATTTTTTTTTCTTCAAACAGTTTCACCCATGAAAATAAATATCACCGATTGGAAATTTTTTTGAAACTACTTGGAACATGTAGTAGAAGAAGCTGGGCACTATACAGGGACAGTTTTGGAAAATCTAAAGTACAAGGAATTTGCTTCCAAGCCCATCAATCTCCTTACCCCATTCTTCTTTCTCCTAATCCACCTTCCCTCAAAGTTAAAAATCTGTATAACTTTGTCTTTCCAACAGAGTTTTATAGATTACTAAACCCTTCTGGTCCATTACACTCAATTTTCTGTCCTTCTAACAGACCCATCCTCCTTTCAGCTTATTGATCAATTTCGTTTTCTCCACCTCAACCTCTTATTCTTCCAACAAGACAGGAGACTGACATCAATGTCCTGGAAAGAGGTAATACTAGTAATGATAAACTTTATTTATACCCTGCCCCCTCTCGGGGCAACTCACAACTCAAAAACAATATACATAATATCAGACAAAAGTCTGTAAATAAAAAAAACAAAATAAATTAAGGATTAAAGAATAAATGCAGTTAAACATAGTTAAAACAGCTTGTATCCGTTAGACCCATCAGTATAAATATAAAACAGTTTTAAAAACATATACATATTATTTAAAAACATCAGGCATCCTACTCTCACTGATAGAAACAGTAGAATCTGGTTTAAAATTTACCCTTGAACAGCTGCATCTCCTTGTTTGCAGTAGCCATTTTCAAACGCCTGCTTCCAGTGCTAGGTTTTTAATTGTTTTCTGATGGACGGTAAGGTGGGGGCTAATGTAATCTCCTGGTGGGGAGGGCATTCCAGAGCCAGGGAGCCACTATCAAAAAGGCCCTCTCCCTCCTCCCCACCAACCGCACTTGTGACGGTGGTGGAACCGAAAGGAGGACCTCCCGGGTGGATCTCAGAGCTCATGCTGGTTCATAAGGAGATATATAGTCATGCAAATGGGATGGACCCGACCATTCAGGGCTTTACAGGTGATAACCTGCACTTTGAATTGGGACCAGAAACATATAGACAGCCAATTGAGCTCTTTTAGTAGAAGAGTAGTGTGTTCCCTGCGATTTGCTTCTGTTAGTAGCCTAGCCACTGTCCTTTGTAGCAGTTGTAGTTTCTGGGCAATCTTCAAAGGCAATTCCATGTAGCATGCATTTCAGTAATCCAGCTGGGATGTAATTAAGGTGTGGACCCAAAGGCCCATCACAGTGAGTTGACCCAAAAGGATACCATGGTCGATGGCATTGAAAGCTGCTGAGAGATTCAGGAGAACCAACAGGTAAACACTCCCCCTGTCTAGTTCTCTGCGAATGTCATCCACCAAGGCAACCAAAGCTATCTCTGTTCCATAACCAGGCCTAGTCCCGGTAGCATGCAATAGTAGTGTTTTTCGAATTTCACAGAATTCTGCATCCTGATAACCAACATGGAGACTGAACTGTATAAGATCTTCATATTGTGTTCAGGGATTATAACTATTTGTTCATTTTGAACATCAACAACTACATTCTCTTTCATGGCCTCTTGTTTCTTTATCATCAAAATTACATGCCAAGTAAGGAATTGAGTAAAACAGAGATACTGGTTTTGACCTACAAAACCCTATACAGTTCTGGCCCAGTGTATCTGTCYGAACGGATCTCCCTCTACGTCCCACTCYGGAGTCTAAGATCTTCTGGGGAGGCCCTGCTCTCGACCCCGCCTCTATCACAAGTGAGATTGGCGGGGACGAGGAGCAGGGCCTTCTYGGTGGTGGCCCYCCRCCTGTGGAATTCACTCCCCGGGGAAATTAGATCTGCAACATCGCTCCTTTCCTTTAGGAAAAAACTAAAAACATGGATCTGGGACCAGGCATTCRGACAATCGGGCTGATAAAGAAAGAACTTTGACGATGACTAGGAAATGATTAATGGATTAGATCTATGGAACTCTGAAAGAYGAAACGCTGAGCACGAGAATAGTTTTATATGATGTTTTATATGATATTTTATATGATGTGTTATGTACTGGTTGTTTGATTGTTTTAACTGTGATAACTGCTTTTAACTATGGTTTTGTATGTTATGTGTAATTTGTACAGGGATCGAATGGTGCCTTTTTTGTAAGCCGCCCTGAGTCCTCCTTCGGGGGTTGAGAAGGGTGGGGTAAAAGTACCCGAAATAAATAAATAAATAAATAATAGCAGATGGAACTGGAGATACACAAGACCAGCATAAAAAAGAATCAACCAATGAGAACAACAACAAAGTCAACTTCAAACAAATGTCCAGCAAGAAAGAATACAAGCACAATAATTGGACTGCCTAGAAAGGTGAGCTCCACTCAGATCAGGAAATGTTCCCAAGGAGGTCCAAATTCTGAGAAAAACTGTGAGCCGAATTTTGAAGAGCTTGAAATGGAGGAACTGGTGGAGAAACAGACTGATCAGAGTATTGGGGTAAACTGAATGAGCAACAGGGAACAAAACCACTAGATTTGTACATCAACTGTTAAGAGGAACTTAAGCATCTCAATCTTTGGATGGCATTTGAATTCAGAGATCCTGTAAAAATGGATAGGAACAAACTATAATCTCCGAGTCACCACAGAGATTTTGGATATATATGTGTGTGTGTTACCTTACGTTTAAGGGATTTTAGATAATTTATGTGTTAGTGTCTGCTAATTAGATTTTGATTGTTTATATAGAAGTACATGATTTCAATTGATGTTTTAATTAATGTTTAATTGTATGATTTTAATTGTGTTGGTTTATTTTATATGTATATATATTGGCATTAAATTGCTGCCTGTTGTAAAGCTAGACTGAGTCCCCTTTCAGGGTGAGAAGGGTGGGATACAAATATGTGAAATAATACATCCATACATAATCTTTGTGTTTAAAAGGGAAAGAAAGGATACTAATTTACTAACACATTGAATTAAACTGTTAGATTTATTGAGTAATAACTAAAATTCAATAAAATATGTAAAACAAACAATCTTATCAGAATAATAAAGACGAACTTTTAATGGTGAAGAGCTGGGGAGAAGATAAGAAAAACAATACAGGATAATACAAGAGGATATGAAGATCTGACTTAGAGTTGAAGGACAATATTTCTCCTCTCTTTGTGATAGAGGATTTATAGATTTTTAATACTTTGGTTAATATGTCAAATTGTAACTGGCACTGCTATGAAGAAATAGATGAATCAACTTAAACTTTGTACATTTTCTTAACTCTGTCCCTCTGACCCGCTCCCTCTGCACCAAATTATATATTTCTAAAGAATTAATTCACTAATAATAACTCTACCACCCCCATCTTCTTTATTCTCTTTTATTCTCTTTTCCCTCTTACTCCCCCTCTTTTTTGTGTGGAAAAATTGAAAATGTTCAATTTTTAGTAATGTTTTAAAAAAATACTCACATGTTATCCTGCTCATAGATTAATCCATAGGTGCATGACACAAGCTCATTGATACCATGAAAGGTTTTGTGTTAGGGGAAAAGCATTAGACCATAATAGTTAATATTCTAAAGATGTATAAAAACTTTGTCAAAAAAACTTTCAAGCAAGCCTGGATATACTTTCTATACCATAAAGTTCAATTAGGTAAGTTAAGCCATATCCAGGTTGAGCTTTTTCCATCGAAGAGAAGTACATATGTTTCTATTTTGTGAACATATATATCAATGTAATTAACTGTAAACTGAATACGAGTAACACCACGATATATATAGCAAATAAATGAAATGCTACCATTTGACATAGTCAGGAACTAATATGAATGTTAGAAATCTTCATTGATTTGTACTTTTCATTCTGATATGTTCTAATTGTTAAACTTCAATGCATAACTTCGATATTTTCTTTTCTCTGTTTAGCTCAATTATAGAGTTTGCTCAAAGTACATGGATATCTTCTTTCAAACCATAACAATATGATTAACAGAAGAGTCATGCAGAATTCTCTTTAAAAATGATATAATAACTCCAACCATGAAATACTAGAGTTGCACTTAAAATTACTGTCTTCACTGAACATTTAAGAAGAGGGAAACTTTTCATTCTCTTGAATAGAGAATCAGAGTTGATTTTGGTCTATGAATGAAAGAGAAGATGAATAGCATCTTAAGGTTAGTCTGATATTGCAATTAAGGAAAAATCATTTTAGTTTTTCATTGATCAGAATCTATCAGAGTTGTGGCTTTCAGATACAAATTTCAGGCAGACATCTGTGATTTTCTGAAGTTGTAATGCAAGTCAGGCAAAAACATTTTAAACAAGTACAAATTGTACATCTATGTGCAAACCGTATATACATAGTTCAGTCAATGGAAGAAAAGTACACACATGTGAATATACATATGTTTAAAATATGCACATTGAACTATGCATGCATTTCATCCTTTTTGAAAACAGTTGCATAGAAATAAACATATATTTCCATGCAGACAAAGCTTTGCAATCCAATATGGATGCAAGTCAGAACAAGCTTCAAAGTGGAGTCAGAGAATCTCAACAATCTTAAATTCTATGGATTTCAAAAAACTAAAAGTCAGCATTAATGAAGTGTCTAGAAAAAATGGGATTTTAATAACCTGCAATACCTGAGCATGGTAGGGAAACTGGGAAATTGAAACACAATAGAGATCAGCAGAAAGTTGGATGATATTGTGATCCAGGATAGGGATGGACAATAACTTTAACTGAGGTTATCTACAAATTATGTATATACTTTTTATTTATCTTTTAAGCACTGGAAAGAAACAATGAATATCAGATTTACCCTCTTACCTTTTCATATTATATAAATAGTAAACATTCTGACTTAAAATGCACTTAAAAACAGCACACAGACACAAGTATGTGAATCCGAAAAGAGAACCTGAAGGAGAGAATGAGACCCACAGATAATCTATCACTGTGAATCAAAATTCAGGAGACAGGTGTTATGGCAACATAGATATAAACAGCAGCATTGGAGACAAGGTGAGGGAATAGAAGTCAGGATGTGCCATATTCACCTTAACCTGGGGAGACTGACTTAGATAGAGGCAAAGGCAGAAGGATGAAGAACAGGTTGGATGCTTTCTCAAGGGATTCAACAAAGACAGGAAACCATGGAGATCCACTGTAGGGCCATGATCAAATCATACTCTCTTGGCCTCAGAAGAAGGCAATTATAAACATCTCCTTAAGAAATTTTGCCAAGAAAAGCCCATGATAGTTTCACCTTAGGGTCACCATAGGGAATAACTAAAAGCATTGGAGAACACACAGATTTTTAAGAGTTTGACTGATGTACAACTTTTTTTTGAGTAATAATATTGTTGTTGTGAACAAGATATTGTGGATAACACAAAGGCCTGGATTTTTGCTTTGTATGTCAAGTTAAATTAAAAAATGCAAAACTTAAAATGGCAATGTAAGGAAAAAAAGATCTTCGAAGGAATTTGACTCCCAACCTTGTGAGTCAGATTTCCAAGCCAACAGGCATGTAGCCGGGGGGACCCCCCCCCCCAATTCTCAGGGTGGTCCATGAGAAGGCCTTACTGGTACATTATTTAAACTGTTATGTTTATTCATATCATGATCTGATCACCATGCTCAATATATCCCATATACATGGGGGTATTGGGATAACAATACAAAAGGTTTGCTAGGGTAGATCCTCAGCCCCCCCCCCCCCCCGAATCAAAATCCTGGCTACAGGCCTGAGTGAAGAAAATCACAAAAGGGATGATGTTCAATATAGAATTCTCAGTGAGGCCCAGCAAAATGAATTCCATCACTTTTGACTTCTGGTTGTCCTGATACATTTTTTTATCATTCACAACATACCTTAAGAAGATGTAATGCAAATGACAGTAAATTCATAAAGAAAGAATATCTCTTAAGAATAAAACTGTCATATTATTTGTCCTGTGGAACCTATTCATCAAAATTCAAACTAATGAAGCAAACTGGTCTAATCTGAATCCATTTGAATATCTGTTCTTGTGAAGGAAGGCAGAGGCTAAAGCACCTTGGAGGCATCTGGGGGTACAAAAATAAAAACATGGGGAGAAACACTAGACATTGTACCTGTAACATAGGAAAAAAGATGAATGCAGAAGGAGGGAGGGAACCTAGCTTTGCTCATTGAGAACACCATCATGTAAATTGTGATGGGATTATTACCACCAATCAGGATTGTTTGAGGGAATTTAATTTATATAATGAATTATTTCCACATAATGTATTTCACACACTGTGTTAGCAGGAGGTGATTGTCACTTGAGTGGATCTCACTGGATCTTTTGGTTTGGTTTTGTTGACTAGCCCAATCTTCAATTTGCTATTTCTGTTAATTTATCCTTTTAAGAAGGGAGCATCTATTCTTCTCCCACACCTAAATCACCCCAGCTATTGATATTGTTGGCTTTTATAGTATTGATTATCTAGGTCTAAGAACAATTGAGTCATTACAGAAAAGTTGGCACATTGTCTACAGAGACAGAATATCACCACACAATCTCTGGAATCTACCATTTATTCATGTATGCATTTATGCAATCATATAAACCCGGCTTCTTCACCCTCCAAAAAACTATGACAAGATAGGTTAAAAAAACAGAATACAGATAAAAACAGATACAAAAACATAAACAAAATCATCCATGCCCTTAGAGCCCCTTTGATAGGATAGTCACACCAAGAAGAGCAGTGATGTAGAGCACTGAAGAAATGGTTTGACTGGATTTTCTACAGATGTTTTCCTCTAAGAATCAGCAGAGTTCATAACAGAATTACCTATTATGAAGTCAGAATTTTTATTTACATAACACATTTTTTTCCTAACAGTTTTCTAATACTGTTCTTCATTTCTGTGTTTCGTAGAGTAAAGATAATTGGATTTAGCACTGGTGTGATTGTTGTGTACAAGACAGAGATTATTTTGTCCATTGGAGATGTACGGAAAGGGCGGTCATAAATGAACATTGCTGGAACAAAATGCAAGCTCATGACAATGACCTGTGTAGAGCATGTAGACAGGGCTTTGCACTTGTTTTCTGTCACATACATTCTAATCTTTACTAAGATGACAATATATGACACAAGTAAGATGCAGAAAATTAGTGTGAGGAGTAGGCCACTATTACAAGCCATCAGCAGCTCTGCAACATATGTGTCTGTACAAGACAATTTGATCACCTGTGGGACATCACAGTAGAAGTTGTCTATGATATTTGGTCCACAAAAAGACAACTGAAGTATTAGTACTACCTGGACAATGGAATGAGCAAAACCACCCAGCCACGCTCCTGAGACCAAACCACTGCAAACTCCCTGGTTCATGATGACTAAATATAGCAGTGGTTTGTAGATAGCTATGTATCGATCAACAACCATTACAACTAGGAAGAACACAACGGCCCCACCTGTACAATGAAAGAAAAAAATTTGAACAATACACCAGTTGAAAGAGATGGAATTTGTATGAGAGATGAAGTCCCACAGAATTTTTACTGCTGTCACAGAGCAGTCACTAATGTCTATGACAGCCAAGTTGGCCAAAAAAAAGTACATTGGCATATGGAGAACAGGTGTGTAAATCACAGTAATGATAATGAGGAGGTTCCCAATCCAAGTTAAGATATACATGATGAGGAAGATGAAAAAGAGCATGGATTGAATCTTTGGACTCTGAGTGAAACCCAGAAGAATAAATTCAGTCACTGTTGTGTTATTCCTCTTCAAAGCCATTCAGTGTATTTTAAAAATAGCTGCAAGAAAAAAAAATATTAAATTTGAGTGTATTGTCTTGTGCTGTTCAGAAAATGCAGTCTGGAGAAATGTAAAATTAAATAGGATAACTTTGGCCAGTATTCCACATGCCTAACTACTTATTCATGTAAGCACCACAAATATTAATGATTGCTAATTGTGACACTATTGCCACAATTGAAACTCCCTATCTCCTACCTATTGTTTTCTGCTTCCCTGGAGACTAGGATGCAGAACAATGGCTTCAAACTACAAGAAAGGAGATTCCATCTGAACATGAGGAAGAACTTCCTGACTGTGAGAGGTATTCAGCAGTGGAACTCTCTACCTCGGAGTGTGGTGGAGGCTCCCTCTTTGGAAGCTTTTAATCAGAGGCTGGATAGCCATCTGTCAGGGGTGCTTTGAATGCAATGTTCCTGCTTCTTGGCAGGGGGTTGGACTGGATGGCCCACGAGATCTATTCCAACTCTATGATTCTATGATTTTATGATTCTATTTTAACAGGAATCAGCAGTGTGGGGAGAAGGTGGAGGAGGGAGATTGACAGAGACAGTTAAGTTACTTTACTAAAGTTGTAAATATGGAATACTGGCCTGAGTTTTGCATTGGTCCAAAATGTAAAATCAAATAACTGTCAATTAGTATATAAACCAAATAGATTCATCACAGAACCTTCCTAAGGCAAAACATTTACTTAAGTAATAGATATATTGATTCTACAAACATAGACTACCCTTTGAATTATATCAACTATTGTTTATGTATTGGTAGAAGGTCCTTCTGGTTGCACTAGAAGATAGATACAAGCTATTTTCACTAACCTTCAGCAGGTTCTGGAGAAACCCTAGAAATAACCATATTTTGGGCAGCATGGAGAGCTGTAGTCATATTCACAAATAAGAGGAATTCCTGTCCAGTAATGCAAAGCATCTAGGCATTAACTTCATTACAAAAATTCAGTTAGATATATTAGCCAACCTATAAAACTGCCTGGCAGGAGACTGTAGAAATCCATTATTGACACAGCATATAGTAAATATTGAATTTGCTACAGCAAATAATAGTGACAATATCAATATCAACAGTTTTAAAGGTAACCACTTGAATTCATGAAGGTTGTTGTTGTTGTTCATTCGTTCAGTCGTCTCCAACTCTTCGTGACCTCATGGACCAGCCCACGCCAGAGCTCCCTGTCGGCCGTTACCACCCTCAGCTCCCTCAAGGTCAGTCCAGTCACTTCAAGGATGCCATCCATCCATCTTGCCCTTGGTCGGCCCCTCTCATGGAGGTTAAAGCTAACCATTTGCATTAATTATATGTTCTAATGCAAAGAAACATGGGCGATTGATGGGCAATGAAGAAGTTTACAATCTAGCTAGCTGCTTTGGAAGGACTGGTTAGTCAGAGGGGAGGAGTGGGGTTGAGGATATCTGAGTCAAACAGGTGGCAAGATTTGAAAGAGCTGATGCCGTTGACTGCAGGCCTGTATGGGGGGGGGGGTCAAGGGTTCAAAATTGTTTACTCATGCATTTTAACTGGTTTAACTGGAGCCCCCGGTGGTGCAGTGGGTTAAACCCCTGTGCCGGCAGGACTGAAGACAGACAGGTCGCAGGTTCGAATCCGGGGAGAGGCGGATGAGCTCCCTCTATCAGCTCCAGCTCCTCATGCGGGGACATGAGAGAAGCCTCCCACAAGGATGATAAAAACATCAAATCATCCGGGTGTCCCCTGGGCAATGTCCTTGCAGACGGCCAATTCTCTCACACCAGAAGCGACTTGCAGTTTCTCAAGTCGCTCCTGACACGACCAAAAAAAAAAAAAACCTGGTTAACCAATTCATGAGTAAACCAGGTTTTTTTAAAACCTGAAACTTTTCAGTTGAGCCCTTCCCCTCTCTGGCTACAGACCTGATTGACTGGAGTCTCTAGCTTGTATGTCTGGAAGAAGACTTACAAGCTTTTGGAGTTTTTTCCCACTCTTTCATATAGACCCCACATCCCTAATTCCTATGAATGTGTTGAATGACTGTATTAGTGACAAATACATTTAAACTCATCATGTTAGAAATAACTTGGGAAATGTGTACATAATATTGCATGCAAGCATACACATATTAAGAGAAATAAATCACAAATTCATTTTTTTCTACTAAAATTTTGAAAGAATCCCACATTAGATAAAGAAGATTCTCAGAATTCAGGATGAACTGAACTAAAAATCATGAAAAAATGTAACACCAAAATAAATGAAACGGAACGGATCAATCCATGTGTAGTACATTTTCTTCTTTCAGCTAGTCCAGCAGGCCAAATTTGGGAGCTAGATCATCCAATTCCTTTACCAAAATGTTACATCATATTATTGCATAGCCCCACTTGGTTCTCAGCTCTAATCTACAGTCCTATAGTTTTCTAAAGTGACATTTCAGATGGGTTAGTGGATCTGGACACAATTTTCATTTCTTGGGGTTGTAACAAATAATTGGATCTGTTTTAGCATGCATAATGTAAGCAATATGGAACTTCAGTTATTCTTGTTATCTCTGTTATCCCACAAAACTGGAGCCTTTAGTTTCCATCTGAAAAGTAAGGTCCACACATCCATATCTAATTACCAAAAGATAACATTATTTTCATTAGTATCACCTTACCTTTTTCTGCTACTTCATAGAAACATTGCTTCCATGACTCATGGTAACAACATAGAAAATATAGCAGAGTTGTTCTTCCAACATGTTTTTCTCGTGTGCAATGACTTCAAATAATAATGTTCATTTCAGCACAACCCTTTAAGAACATTATGCATCATGTATATATCAAGCCTTTTCCTTTATAGCCCCTTGTCGTAATGTTTAGTTTATTGCCGTTAATGAAACATAATGTGAACCCTACATAAAAACTGAGAAAAAGATATAATAGAAGACAATCTAATAGCAATAGGAAAAAGCAGAATTTGGGTTTTAGTAGCATATACTTTAGTGTGTCTGCCAGATGCCACAGAAAAACGTGATGTCAATTGTGAAAACACATTGTAGACAAAAATGGTTGAGACAAACAATTCTGGATAATATTTGCATTCAATTATATATTAAAATTCATGAATCAGAGGTGGATAAAAGTGATCCAGGAAAAAACTGAATAATTATTTCACTTATATTTCAAGATTCTGTATTTTTCTTCAAAAACAGGACCACTAGTTGAGAATTCTTACAAGATCTCTATTTCTTTGCAGAACCATTCCCTCATTCTTAGAACTTTGCTCATCTAAACTACTGATGTAGCTATTACCCCTATTAAATAACCCACACCACCTTACCATGGATCCAGCAGTAGCCCTATTATCAGCAGTAGCCCTATTATATCAGAATCCAGCAGTAGCCCTATTATATCAGAATAATATATTTTTCAGAAATAATGTAAAAAATAAAAGCCTATTAAAAACAGGGTTCCCGTTCATTTATCTCTCTCCTTCTTCCCTATAGCACAGCTGAGCTCTCTGAGAGTCAAAATCAAAGCATAGCTGGCTTGGATCACAAGGGACTTAATTAAACATTGCATATGTTAGAAATGTCCCTTTCCCTCTTGTTTAATTGTATCCTCAGATGTTCAGACCTGGAGTTGTCATTGAAATTAAACAGAAACATACAAACATGATCTTAGATTCTGGGAGTTGTAGTTCACCTGTATCCAGAGAGTACTGAACCCTGCCAACAAAGGATCTGGACTGAAATTTGTACACAGACCCAACATGGCCAACTTTGAACACTGACAGTATTTAGGAGTAATTGAAGAGTGGGTTAATATCAGTTTGCTACCACGACCCTATTACTCCCTGATATAAATTTTTTAACTCAAAGGCATTAAATAGACATAAATATAATAATATTTAAAGACTGAAAGTGGATGCTGGGTTGCCAATGAGTTGTGACAGTTATATAGTAAGTTCTTCATGTTTTCTTGAATTAGTGATATCAGACCATTGTGAAAGTGAAAATTCAATCAATTCAAACATCTTTATTTTGTTTTATTTCTTTTATCCCACTTTTCCTTATAAAACAAGGGTATTCAAGGGTTGTGTCCAAATGTAACTGAAACTATGCATATGATAAAAACAATAAACAAGTATTGCTCCAAAATATATAATGTTTTGAACTTTGAAGTTAGAAGTCTCATGAGCAACAACCTAGAAGCAGCATACATTCACATTCAAAATTATTTCTACTTTGATCTTTATACGTACCATGCTACAATTTCTAAGCAGGTGTGTTGCGCATATTTTGCCCAACTTAAGGTACAACTCACTTAAATAGGCCATAAGTCAAAAAATCAGTCCTTGTTTAGTTTGATCTTTCATATTTGGCCATTACTCCACAGGAGGTAAACCTATATCCTCACTGATGCTTAAACATAAAGCCCGTTGGATATATTGGATCTGTTATTATCCCCTAGCCTTTTAATCCCAGAATGTTGCTATGACAATAAGTCTTGGAAACAAATCAGTTGTTAGTAGGAGAAAAAAAAGGAGTAAATGAAGAAACCTCAGGAGTTTTTTATCCATCTTTTTTCAACCTGCTTGCTTTGTTCTACCCATATACTTATGAATTGAATATACTTATGGATACTTCTTGGGCTTTTTTGTTTCTAAAGGTGACTATGATAGGTTTCAGCATGTGTGTCACTGTGGTAGTCACCACAGATGCAATTTTGTTGAGATCCATCGATTTGGTTTGGGAAAGTCTAACATAAATGAAGACCGAGGTGCCATAAGCAATGGTACTACTGTAAAACGGGAGGCATATGTGGATACAGCTTTCTGCCTTCCTGTGGCAGAAGGAAACTGGAAAATGGTTTTTAAAATGTAAATATATCAGTGCCAAGAAAAGAGAACGCAAATGAATAGGAAGTGAGAGAATGAAGTCAATAAACTTTAGTAACTAGATGGCATCACAAGCTAAATGGAATAAAGGAGCACTGTCACAAAATAAGTGATTAATCACCTTGAGGCCACAGAAAAGCAAGCCCAACTTCCTCACAGTGGGGACAAGTATGGCAAAGAACGTATGTTTACAAGAACTACACATGAACAGTATACTAATAAATAGAATAATTTATCATGCTTCCTTTCTTAAATGTTGTTATTTCACATGTAGATGAAAGAAACAAGCAACTTTGTGGGCTTACTCTTAATGTTGTCTAAAAACAATTTGTTAAAAGCTATATAAGATACATTTCCTTTTGATCAACTTCTGTAAAGAGTCCTTGAAGGCATTATTCCTCAAACTGTAGATGACAGGGTTAAGAAGTGGTGTTACCACAGTGTAAAAGACAGAGACAACTTTATTGAGCTCTGAAGAAAGACTAGCACTAGGTTGAATATACATAGACATCATAGTGCCATAATATATTACCACCACAACCAAATGTGAGCCGCAAGTGGAGAATGTTTTCTTCTTTCCAGAAGCAGAAGGGATTTTCACAATAGTGAAAATAATGAATGTGTAAGATGTTAGGGTAAGCATAAAACAAGTGAAAAGTACTAATACAGAGAGCACAAATATGCTTATCTCGATGACTGAAGTGTCAGAGCAAGAGAGCTTCAGCAAAGGGGGAATGTCACAAAAAAAGTGATTGATTTGATTGGAGCTACAGAAATTTAGTCTGGAGATCAGCAAAGGTGGCAAGAGCCCTGTGAGGAGACCACTCATCCAAGACCCGATTGACAAATGAATGCAGAACTGAATGTTCATAGTTACAGAGTAATGCAGAGGGTCACAAATTGCCAAATACCGGTCATATGCCATTACAGAAAGAAAAAAACACTCTGTTGCTCCCAAGAAAACAAAAAAGTACAACTGGGACATACACTCATTGAAGGAGATGGTCTTGTTTTCTACAAGGAGGCTGATGAGCATCTTGGGTACAATAGTGGTTGTGTACCATATCTCTAGGAAGGAAAGATTTTGGAGGAAAAAGTACATCGGAGAATGGAGGCATGGCTCCAGCTTGACCATCACAATGATGACTACATTGCCTGTAATGGTTAAAATATAGATAAGGAAGAACACAGTGAAGAGGATGATCTGCCACCCTGGAAGGCTCTCAAAACCCATAAGCTGGAATCTAGATACGGTGCTATGGTTAGCCATTTGCTTCACTATTTATGAGTTCTAGTGAAGATAGATATAGATGAATGTGTATTTACTTGATATCATTTCTGAAAAAGAACAGAAAAGTAGTAAATTAATTTTTTTGCATTAATGACATTTGCATTTCAAACAAAAATACAGTTTATTTGAGTTTTATCTTTGCATCTCATTTTTAAACAAGTGGAAATGGGAGCAATATAAGGGGTTAAGAAGAATCCCATTGTATATAAGCAAAATTATGTTCAAACTTTTTTGTTGGGGGGGGGGGTCATTGCAAAGTGGGGTGGGGAAGGCAGGCTAGACTGGGCTGGGAGGGGAGATGGGGGGCAAGGGAAGTTGGGGGGCTGTTGGCACAGGGGGACAGTCGGCATGGGGGTCAGTTGGCATGGGGGCAGTTGGTGTGGGAGGGAGAATCCTCCTCTTAGCCTGAGGACACAGGGGCCTGCCACATCCCCAGGCTGAGAGGAGGAGACACATGGTAGGCAAGAGCCCTGGGGAGGTCTTGGTAGTGTGTCCCTGCTTCAGCCCTTCTTTCAGTCTGGAAATGCAGCAGGCCACTTGATCCACATGCTGAGAGGAGGCCCAAGGCAAAGGAGGGCCAGACAAAAGAGCCCAAGGGGCCATGTTTGGCCTGCAGTCCTGGGTTTGCCCATGCCTGAGCTATAACAACTAATCTGATAAGGTTGTTTTGATAATGGTTAAGTTGTTCTTGGCATTAAACATTATAATCTATATTGAAAGTGGTCTGACAAATTCTAAACTAATCCTGTAGAAACAATGTTTCATGTTTTATCCTGTCTGATTTCAGGAAAGAAAACACAGCCATATATTGCTATTTATTAATTTACTAATTGATTTTGGACTTTAATTGATTGCTTTCATAAAATCATAGACATGATTCAAAACTATCAAGAAACCATACAAATAACCCAATCACTGTATTAACATTTTGTTTCCATAAATACAAAAATCTAACTTTAAACTTCAAAACAAACCCCCAAACTGCATTGTTGTAGGGGTTTTTTTTGGGCTATATGGCCATGTTCTAGAGGCATTTTCTCCTGACATTTCGCCTGCATCTATGGCAAGCATCCTCAGAGGTAGTGAGGTCTGTTGGAATTAGAAAAAGGGTTTATATATATGTGGAAAGACCAGGTTGGGACAAAGGACTCTTGTCTGTTGGAGCTAGGTGTGAATGTTTCAACTGACCACCTTGATTAGCATTTGATGGCCTGGCAGTGCCTGGGGCAATATTTTGTCGAGAGGTGATTAGATGTCCTTTTTTGTTTCCTCTCTGTTGTTTTGCTGTTATAATTTTAGAGTTTTTTTAATACTGGTAGCCAGATTTTGTTCATTTTCATGGTTTGTAATTAAAGAAAAATAATCATACTTAGCCATGAGTGATAGCCTATGATGATTTATAGAAAAGCAGAGGCTGTTACTCTGTGCTACTGAAGAAGGGAAATTGAAGTCTATCCTCTAGATTAAAGCTAGAATACTGAAAGAACAAGGTTTGAATTCCCACTAAACCATTTAAATCTACTAGGTTAAAAAGTCCTATGATATGCTCACATAAGTTAGAGTCAACTTTACAGCACAAACAACAAACTTACCGAATTATTATAGTTGCCTTGTAAAGGATATCTGGAAGAGCCACCTGATTATCAAAATGGTTTCATCTCAGTGCAATCATACGTAGATGTGAATTTGACCACCAGAAACCATGTCTTTGAATTATTCATACAAAGCAAGAGATAGAACAAGATGTGGCTTATTTGATATTCTGCTGCCCAAGCTTTTTGCTTCTAGCAAAGGAGGTAGACCTGCCAGAACTTTTCAAGACTTCGGAAAAACCCAAGGGGTGTAATTTGCCTAGCTTCTGGGGAATTCCCAGTTGATTGTGTAGAAAATAAATTCTTTGATTTTATGCAGTAATGGAAACACCACATCCAGAGCATCTAACACTGGGAAAAACACAAAGCTAATACAATAGCTCATCACTTGAACAGTTCTGAAAAATGATATAACTGCATAACCCCTAGCAAGGATTTGACCCTTTGTGTGATTTAAATCCTAAGAATAGAAGGAAGAAGGATACACTCTGGCCTTGCCTTTGTATTATCTCACCACACCACAAATTTTGTAGAAGATAGTTCTCTAGGGTGGTCTAGGGATAGAGTGGTCTAGGGAAAGAGTAATCCTTTTTGTTTGGCTTCCCATCTAAAAAGTGGGTTTCCTTTTTTTTTGTTTAGGAAATTGCCTCCAAAAAGCTCAGTAGCATTCTTCACCATTCATAGTCTTCTGGATATTAATATATGCATACATTTAGGTATATATATTTATAATGAAATCATTATTTCTTCCAGACTTGTTTTCCGAAAACTATTTTTAACATTTTGTTAATAGTTAATTAAATAAAGCATCCATACATTTAGATGTCTTTCTAGTTTTTTTTGTCGTGTTAGAGAAAAAAAATGCAAATATGGAAGAGTTACAAGTGCTAAAGACAATGCTCCTCATCATCCTTTTTTTCCTGAAGGATAATTGTGGTTCAGCCTGTGTTACTAGTGGAATCTACTATTTCCAGAAATCCAAAATCTGAAATACTCCACCACTATCACAGATTTCATTGGTGGAAAGCAAAGAGGGAGGAATACAGAGCCCCAGTAAAAAGGAGACATCGGGGCAGGAAAAATCCAAATACATATGTTACCACAAACTTGGGAAATATTTGAATGCTAGAACTATGCTTCTTATGGAATTCTCAAAGCTAGCTTCATGAAGAAGAGTGTTAACTTAGCAACATATTCCTCCCAGAAAAGTTTGGCAGAACCTTTAATTCATAACTGGAAAAATCAATTAAGGTTCTTGAGTCTTCAATGGAATTGAACAAAATGGCATTGAAAGTGAGGGTGTTATTCACATGATGTGTTGTTCATGTTTAGATGTAACCTATGCTGATTTCATTGTTAAAGCCTCTAACACATTTATACATATCTGAAGAGGAGGGAAGTCATTTCTAGGAAAGAGCTCTGACAGCTAGATTAGCTATCAAAATTTTAAAACCAACTAAAGACCTTTCCCTTCAAGCAGGCCTACCCAGCCAGTTTTAAGCATGAATTTTAAACTCATGTCTTGTGTTTCACCTCTGTTTTGTGTGTTTTAATATGTATTTTATAGAAATATCCCATTTGTCAGAAATTGCATTGTAAGTACAAATTTAACCTATTTGATCCTACTTACGAGGACTAATGATAATTTTGCACAGCTATACCTAAGCAAAAAAAAAATGCACTCAGAAATTCATGGATGAGTAGAAACATATGAGAAAATGGAGAATGCTGGTAATAATACCAACAAAATGCATACCAGAGGGAGCTTGCTAGTTAGAGGCAGCTTTGTGCATTCATGCAGTATAGAGAAATGAAACTATATATCACACTGATTCACATAGCATTGCTTCTCAATAAGTGATGGGAATTAGTTATTAAGTATTTTAAAACCCACTTGCACCATCTCATTTCCTACTGGGAGTAGTAGTTAGGACAGGCTTTGTTTCTCTGTCTAGGATCACCTCTTTTGCTGATTAGCATAGGGAAAAGTGGGTTTTAATGTGTTCTGTACCTACTGAACAGGAGCATAGGAGAAATTGAGCTTGATAGTATCATATTTATTTTTCTGACAGATCACCAGGGCAGGCAAAAGACTATTCAATAGATAAACACTCTTACTTTTGATTGAAAAGTGCTACCAACATGTTTGCTTTGGATTGTGGGACCTACAGGTGGAGAAAAGGAACACATTTAAGGCAAACCATGAAACACATATGCCGAGTCTTTCAGACCTCTATCATCATATGTTGGCTTTCCTGACTCCAGTCACAAACCAGGGCATCTTGGGCTGCGGTGTTGACCATAATTCACTAGATGATGACTTTAGAGAATCCCTTTCTACATATACTCTCATAACAATTGGAACTACCATCATATATTTATCATTGTAGCCCTAATTCACCCCAAACTATAGAAATGAGATGAAAAAATTATGCTTGAAAAAGTTTGAGTTATGCAAATTGAAATACAGAATTAGCCATAGCCTTTGAAAAAGGCTTTTTGACTCATGAACTTTCAACAGTTATTATTTTGAGTGGATAGTAATAGATCAGCTTGTATAGGTCCAGGATGTTACATGGTCCCTTAACCAGCTGAGCAAGCATCTCTTTCTGTACACATCTGATTTGTGCTAAGCATTGAAAAGACAGGTTATAGTTGCTAACCTAAGTAGTCGGTCTTCTCATGGTACAATCCTACATTTTTAAAAACAATGTGCACTTTAAACTAAGCAATTTAAAACATAGTTTTTCTTTTCTTTTTTTAAAGCGGGTTTTAATGTGTTTCTGTATGATTTGGTTATGACTCTATTGATTAGTTGAAAGTCTTTATAACACTTCTGGGAATTTTACTTGCGTAAGAAAACTCTTGAGGTAGAAATTCTCAAAGGTACATTCACATGTATTTTAAAATGAAATGTGAAATCAATGCACAGCATACAGCAAATGTAAGAACATGAAAGAAGATAGGTCCCTTTACAGGTAAGGAAGGGAATGTTTTATGACTGGACCATACTTTTATTTCAGATTGAAGCAATGACTCATATGAATAAATTACTGTAATGATGCTTCTTACCCTTGTTACATTATATTTTTTTCCTTTTTTTTTTTTAGAAAAGTGTAAATTAAATACGCTTCACTCCCCTCTATGATATGCAGTTTTCATTCACACATATTTTAGTGGGAACTATTGTGATACCTTTTATGTTTGTCTGGTTGTATTTAATTTTCATTGAAATGTAAGAGATTTAAGACATGATTTCCTTGTCTCAAAGTTCCCATTCCATGAGAATGTAAACAACTCCTGGTAGTTTTTCCCATTGAATTCAGTGGGGCATTTCTGCATATGCTATATAGTACTGTGCTGCCAATCTGGATCCAACACCTCTTTTTAATTGCTTCCTCCCTGTCTCCCATCCTTATCAGTAAACAATGCCAGCAGAACAATGGAGTGATGGGATGAATGTTCTGCAAAAGGCTGCAGAATACCACATTGTTCGGAATAAAAAAAAAACATGCATATGTAAACTGCACTTACAAGTGCATGTGTCATAAATAGAATACTGCCAAACTATTCAAAATACACTTTTTTGTAGATGTAAAGGCAGGGGCATGTAAAGAACTGGTTATATTCAATATATGATTCATAAATTATTTGACTAAGTGTAGAGACCTGGGTGTTTGGTTCAGATTGCATACAATCATAACAGAATAATACACTAGACATGCCACATTGAGGCTATATAAAGCATCTTCCCTTGCCTCATCATGGTACACTTTTGGACAGAAAGCTTCCATCATGCTAGGTTATTTGCCATGCTGATTGGAGTTGTTGGGAATTGTAGTTCAAACATCTGGGAAAGGCATATGATATTATCCTGAAACAAAGATTGCAGTAAGTCTTGAGGAAAGAGACCCAAATAGCCACAATGAATAAATTCTTCTGTAGAATCTTCCAAATTGATCTCAACCCTCATGCAAAGATGCAAAATATGAGATATTGAACTGTTTATTATGTTCTTTCATGTATTTGTAGAAAAGTAACAAATGATGGTGAGGCTTTGGTATATTCCGGCAGCACCAAGAGATACTGGCAAAACTTAGTGCACTAAATCTAACTTAGACTATTATTATATATGGACTCAGCTCTTTCTGTGTGCCTTCAGTGCCTAGGAGAAATAAATATTTGCAAGCAGACTTTTTGTGGCAAAATTACTGCAAACCTTTAATTGATAATAGCCTGCAGAACTTGTAGCATAGGATTTGCTGAGTATTAGCTGATTTTGATGCTACTTTGATGTACTGTATCTTTTTCCTACAGACAAAAAAATCTGGCAGCTGGTTGGGGATTAGACATGGAGGCACATAACCAAACAGTACTTTCAGAGTTCATAATTCTTGGCTTTCAAGATCTGCAGGATCTACGCCTTTTACTCTTCAGTGGATTCTTGACCATTTATTTATTCACAGTGCTGTGGAATGCCTTCATTATCACAATGGCCACATTGGACCAGCGACTCAGAACTCCCATGTACTTCTTTCTTGGTAACCTCTCTGTTCTTGATATCTGCTACACTACTACTACTATTCCTCTGATGCTGGGCCTCCTTCTCACACAGAGAAACAGCATCTCTTATATAGGCTGTCTGCTTCAACTGTATTTCTTCTTCTCCTTTGTAGGCACTGAATGCCTTCTTCTGGCAGTTATGGCCTTTGATCGATATGTTGCTATTTGCAAACCTTTGCATTATTCACTGGTTATCAGAAGAACATTTTGCCTTCAGCTAGTTACTATATGTTGGGCTGGTGGTTTCATCAACTCTGCAATACACACATGTTTTGCCTCCAGGTTGCCTTTCTGTGATGACAACCGCCTTGATGCTTTCTACTGTGATATCCCTCCTCTGCTAAAGCTCTCTTGTGGAGATATTACCCTCAATCAAAGGCTTTTGTTATTCATTGGCCTGATCATAGCTTGGACACCCCTTTTCTGTATTCTTCTGTCATATGCTTACATCATTTCAACTGTCTTGAAAATACGCTCCACAGAAGGAAGACAAAAAGCTTTCTCCACCTGCTCTTCTCATCTCACTGTAGTTCTCCTGTATTATGGCAGTTGCATTTTCACCTATTTAAGACCCATTTCTTCTCAGTCATCAGTGAATACGAAGTTGATCCCACTAATGTATAGTATCTTGACACCATTGTTAAATCCAGTCATATATACCTTGCGCAACAAGGATGTGAAAAAAGCTATCCAAAGTGCAATGGGTAAGGTTTGAGTTTGTATAATAAACCTGACCATGTAAGACTTATTATACAAGTTCATTAAGTTCCTTACATGTTAAGAATCTTAATGAACTTTTTACTAAAATAACATTGGATCCTACATAGGGAAAATATTATGAAATGAAACAAGAAAATAAAAAAAATGTTGTGACACATTTCTTAAAATAAATACAAATGATTGTTTTGGGAGGGAGCAGCGTACAAAAAAGAGATGTGTCAGTGTGGTTTCATAGTGATTTATCTTTATGGATTTGCTGTTCTTGTGCATTACAGATGTGGTTCTTCCCTAAATTTCTTCTTCAAGGAAGCATTGAAAATTTTTAGAATTTTTTCCTTTCAAGGTGAGAATGTTTTCAAAAACTACACAGCATTTGAAGATTATTCACTGTTCAAATATTCTGTGCAAAATTTACCTGTGTGTTGATTTGTAGTTGAAGCAGTATTTCTGAGCAGAAAATCATGTTTCTGTGCAAAAATAATATTTCAGCATAAAATAACAAATGGTAAAAATACATTATAGACACCTTGTATATCCGAGGGAGAGAAAAGTTATTACATGCAGGTTTTGAGATATGAACTGTTGGGACAATCATTTGTTAATGTAAAAACAAGCATAGATACATAATTTGCTAAGGAGGATGAAAACTTGTTAAACTATAAAGAGACAAAAGAGAAGCAGGAAAACTTTTTTTAAAACTGATTTCTGTTTGTATTTTAGTTATATGTAATTAGAGTTGAGATGCATGTTGATAGGAGAAATTATGTAGTTAGTTATTTAGCCGTTAAATATGTTTATGTGTGTGTATGTATATGTGTGTGTGTGTGTGTGTGTGTATATATATAGTTGTTCCTTTATTTGTGTTTTATATGAATTTGAATTAAAAATGGAAAAAAGAAGTTGTGGAAGATTGCTTGATCAAAATATTCCTTCCATACATGTACTACTTTCCTAGTGTTGCAACTATGAATTCAGGTGAGATGTCCTGGTCCTCTATTACTTTATGAAGCATCTGAGCATTATTGTATAGCTAGAGGAACTGTGCTTGAATTAAAATTTGAACTTCTCCTGAGTATTGAGTGATCTAGAGGTTGGGAAGAATCTCCTGTCCTTGGGGCTGGTTTCCCCTTACCAGGGATCAAAGCAGCCTACACCCTTTAGCTAGCCTTCCAGTATCTGAGTTGGAGCTTTGAGCAATCATGGTGATCAAGGATTGCTCTCAGGGTTTCACCAAAGGGGATGGTGGGGGTTTGTGTCCATAGTAACCAACTGCATCACCACTCCCATATCAAATTTGCACCCCCAAATTTGATTAACCCCCAAGAAACATTCAAATGGTGACAATAAAGTTGCTCTTCGTTCATTCTACTTCTGTTGTCTGGTCTCTTTATTCCTCTGGTTTGTCAGTAAGGACTTTTTTTCTTCAGTCTTCTCCACATGATGTTTTAGAAGCCTGCTGATTTGACATATCAACCTAGAGAAACAGTTCAGAGAAGATGGTTCTTCAGCCCTGCTCAGGAACATTACATTTAAAGTTCATTTTATGTGGCCCAAGTGGCCTCTTCCAACTCTATGACATTAAAGTCCATTTCTTTGTCAGATATTTCTTTACTGAAAGTTTTCTATTTTCTCAACTAGAATTATGGTATAATTCAAAAATAGCATCATAATTTCATTTCCAGTTCAATGCCTTATATACTGTCTCACAAAATAAAAAGACCTGGATGAGAGTATAGAGAATCCCATACACTGTTGTTGCTGCTGCTGTGTGCAATCAAATCATTTATTACTTATTGAAATTCTAAGGCCCAAGCTCAATTTGGAGGTTTATACACCTGAGCACGAGGTTTGTTGGAGTGCCTATGCTTAGCAGAGCCAATCTTCCTCCAGATTTCTGGATAATTGAAGTCCTTCATAACTACCAGTTCTAGCTTCTTAGAGATTTTTAAATATTTGTTTCAGAAAAGCATCATGTGCCATCTTATCTTGGTTTGATGGCCTACAGTAAACTCTTAGAACAATGCGGTATTTATTTATTTCTACATTCGTTTTTATCCCAATGTTTCCCACTAGTTCAGTTTGATCTCTCACAATGATTTCTGTACAAATGAATTTGTCTTTGACTTAAAATGCGACTCCCTCTCCTTTTGTTCATCATATATTTCCTTTAAACAGATGTGATCCTTCACTTTTTATGTTCCAATCATGAGAACCATCCCACCACATCTCCTTACTAATAGCTTCATATTTACCTTCCTGCACTAGTACTTCAAGCTCATCTTAATCGTTTCCTAAACTTGGCACATTGTATACAGGCATCTAGAGTGTTATTTTCTTCTAATTTTTTTATACTTCTTTTTTATATTTTTTGTACTTCTTTTTTTATAATTCACCTGATAAAAGGAATGGTGTAAACCATTTCAAATTCATGCAGATTTTAGAAGATCCCGATAGTTGGGGTAGGGGGACTGAAGTGCACTACAGAGAGGGAAGAGGCTATCCTTGCTTGTGTTCTTTGTTCTTCACATCAAACCACTACCATCACCATAGTCAAATCACTGTTTCATTTAAAAGTACCAATGCTTCAAACTACCTGAGAATTACTTAGGTGTCATTTCTACATTAAAACACTGTTAGCTGTTGTCAAAGAGGTATCATGATTTTGCACTGAGAAGTACATGGCTGTCCTGCATTGAGAAGTTAAAGATGTGAGGGCGATCTGGCTGCAACATCTGTCACTCCATTTATCTTACAGAATAGTTTTGAACCTTTATTAATTCACAGGGCTTTCTTCTTCACTTAGAATTGGGAATTATACAGAGAACTAATTGGTAACACGTGAGCATCATATTTTCCTCATATCTGTTTAATAAATCTTGGAGAGCATTACCCAAAGGGATACTAGTGGCATCAAGAGTATATAAATATAACAGTAAAAAAAATAACTGTTGGGCACACAACATGAAAATTTCTGTTCCAGGTAAGAAAATAACTATTTCATGTATAAGTGAATATGGTCCAATACTGTCCTTGCTCAGTGGAGCAAGATAGAAGAGTTGCACATTTCATTCATTTGAGGAACAGTACTGATTTGTGAGAATAATATGTAAATATTTGCAGTGCAAGTCTATGCATGCCACTTTTGAGAGGGCAAGTTGCACTATGATGTGACTTATTCTCATGGAATAATATTGGAATGCAATCTTAGTCTCTTCATATTAAATATTGTAGTGTGGATAAAACCTTTTACTTTTACAACAGTGACTTACACATGCCTTTTTTCTGTACAGAAATGATGTTATTACTATAGTTGAGACATGGATATAAAAAACCAGACTGAGCTGACTAATTTCATTCTTCTGGGCTTTTCAACTTTGGAAGACATCAATATTTTAGTCTTTGTGGGGTTCCTGGCCATTTATTTATTTACTGTGATGTGGAATGCTTTCATTATCTTGATAACTATTCTGGACCAGAGGCTGAAAACCCCTATGTATTTCTTTCTTGGAAACCTGTCCTTTCTTGACATCTCCTATACTACTACCACAGTCCCCCAGATGCTGGGCCATCTTCTCACAGAGAAAAATAGCATTTCCTACATGGGTTGTGTGTTCCAGCTATATTTTTTCTTCTCCTTGTTGGGTACGGAATGCCTTCTTCTGGCTGTCATGGCATTTGACCGCTATGTTGCCATATGCAATCCTCTACGCTACATGGAAATCATTAGCAAAAGCACTTGCTTCCAACTGTCTTTGGTTTGCTGGGCTGGTGGTTTTCTCAACTCAGCTATACACACAGTATACACATTCAGACTGCCTTTCTGTGGGAACAATCAAATTGATGCTTTCTACTGTGACATTCCACCATTGTTAAAGCTGTCATGTGGGGACATATCCCTCAACCAAATGCTCTTGCTCTATATTGGCTTGCTCATAGCTTGGGCCCCTTTTATAAGTATCCTTGTGTCATATGCTTATATTATTGCTACTGTCTTAAAGATACACTCTCCTGGAGGGAAACAAAAAGCTTTCTCCACCTGTACCTCTCATCTCACTGTGGTTCTTTTGTACTATGGTAGTGCCATATTTAGTTACTTGAAACCTATTTCCACTGATTCATCAAATAATTCAAGGCTGATCCCATTGATATATAGTATCTTGACTCCATTGTTAAACCCAGTTATATATACCTTGCGCAATCACGATGTGAAGAAGGCTTGGCAAAATATGATATCAAAATTTTAAAAACTTCAGGTTGAGAAAGGCTCAAAAAACAAGTCACATTTTTAATGATGCACGACTCATCTAACACCAATGTAATATCAAATTATTCAAGGTCTGTACAGCAGGTTCCTGCCTTTCATTACCTATGGGAGTTAATCTCTTTAAAAAAATCAAGACATTCACATGTTCAGATATCTAACACAGGGGTTCTCAAACTTTTTAAACAGAGGGCCAGGTTACAGTCCTTCAAACTGTTGGAGGGCCGGTTTATAATTTGAAAAAGACATGAATGAATTCCTATGTACACTGCACATATCTTATTTGTAGTGCAAAACAATTAAAAACAATACAATAATTAAAATGAAGAACAATTTTAACAAATATAAACTTATTAGTATTTCAATGGGAAGTGTGGGCCTGCTTTTGGCTGATGAGATAGTATTGTTGATGTTGTTTGCTTTCAAGTTGTTTCAAACTTAGGTTGACCCTGAGTGAGGGCCGGGTAAATGACCTTGGAGGGCCGCATCCGGCCCCCGGGCCTTAGTTTGAGGACCCCTGATCTAACAAAACAAAAATCACAGGCTCCATGCAATGCAAGCAATATATATATATATATATATATATATATATATATATATATTGCACTACACACGCTTACAATGTATCTTCAGTTCACGCACACCATCCCTTTATCATTGTTTTTTTGTTTTGGGGCACATTCTCCTACTTTTTCATTTTAATTAGTTAATATTCATTCATGAGACTCATGATGTATGAAATGAAGTAATAGTCTTCTCTCTTTCAGCGGTTCTTTAAAGCCTGGAAATGCATGACTGAATATTATTATGTGGAGATTTTTTTGTACATTCTTTGTTTCTTAGAATTTGTATTTCCATTTAGCACAAATTTGATACAAAACATATTTTTGAACACAAAGGACATTTGGGCCATGCACCAGCAGTCACTGGCAAAAGGAAATGTGTGAGGGGCAACTTGTGACACCCCACAATCTCTCTCTCTTTCCCCCATCATATGGTAGGGACAGGACGGGATGCATTGGTACTCTGTCCCTTTCCCATCAGATGGAGAAAAGGTGGCAATGCACATTGCCGTGCCACTCTTTCTCCCATCATACAGGAAAAAGGAGGAGGAAAGGGCAGGTAGCTCAACCAGAAATACCCAAAATACACTTTTCTCCCTGTAGTGGTGGAGGAAGCACCTTTCGGCACTTCCCCTCTACTTTGGAAGGAATGTGGGCAGAGCCTGCCATGCACCATGTGAAAAATAAGTTAATAATATTGGTCTGATTAATTATCCTCAATTGTATGAAATTTCAGGGCTGGCTTTTTATTCGTTCAGTGCAGTTGGCAAAAATACTATTAAGGATTACTTGCTTAACTGTGTCAGCCAGTGATTTGCAAGCACACACAGAGTGAATGGCCATCAATTTCTCTTACACACAGAGAGAATAAACAGCATATTTTAAGTAACTACTTCATCACACTAGAGAATGAATCCACTTTAAATTTGGTTTCTGCCTTCTGCAGAACTCTGGGGTTTGTAGTTTAGTTAGGCTGTAAAAGGCTCCTCCCTAAACTACAAACCCCAGAATTCTGCAAGAGGCAGCAACCGGATTTAAAGTGGATTCATTCTCTAGTGTGATGAGGCCCAAAGTTTCTAATATAAGAGAAGTGGTACTCCCAGTATAGCTTTCTCCTCTCCTCCCTTGCTCATCCTTTCTCTATCCTAATCTCTTTTTCTACACTTAATTTCCATGTCCTTCTTTCCTCAGTCTCTCTCTCATGAAACAGAGAGATTAAACACAAAAAGAAATATTATTTTCAACCAGAGCTTCACGTTACCCTCGTGCCAACTGCTGACCTTCCCATGTTCTTAGAATTCAGATAAATTTAAACAATCTTATCTTGTATCCTTTATTATTGAAGCATGCTTGATGCATTTGAATAGGTTCACCACCTGTGAATAAAACTTGTTTTATGTAACTTCATTTTACTCACTGCTTCATGTGTTTACTGTGCATTGGACTCTTCCTTTATATGAATGTGACTCTCTGTTAGGAGCTCTTCTGTTGTATGCGCTATTCTCAATGCTATTGGTGCATATTAGACTATTGAATAAATGTATCCTCTGCAGAATGGGTCTACAAGAGTATGAATTTCTGAGACTGATCTGCTTTTGCAAATATAATGTGTGTGTGTGTGTGTGTGTGTATGTGTTTACAAGCAAGTGAATCCTGATAATGAAGGCAATATGACAATTGATAGGTAAGTGTAAATGTTTCAAATATTTATAGGGATAAATGAGGTTTGTCTGTTCACATCTTCTCCTTGAAATACGTCTATAAGTGAGAAAAGTTGGTAACTTAGGATCCTTCCAGGCAGACCCTAAATGTGGAACCTCTCTCAGATTTACCCGGGTCTCGGAGGGCAGGATGTGTGATCCATAGACCCCTTCCTCCTCCCTCCCTCACAGCTGCGTCTCTTACTCACTGTGCAGTCTCACATACATGTTCCCTTCATGAATTCTGACCCATAGTGCGCAATCAGCATAGGGTCCCAGGTATCATACTTTTGCCAATATCTTTTTCACAAAGAAAATGAAAAGATAAAGCAATACAGCAGACTACATCATATAAAACTTCCAAGTGGATGTCAACCCAATGCATGGCTCTTAATGAAAATAAATAATAATAATAATAATAATAATAATAATAATAAAAACTTTATTTGTATTCTGCCCTATCTCCCCAAGGGGACAACTCTACTCAACTCTGATGGTTAGGGGTGGAGCTTAAAATCCCCTGAGAGGCCTAGCTCTGATGGTTTAGCCCTGCTGGGTCAGAGCTTGGTGGAGAACCTCTCACGGCAGCAGTAGTGTCCCTCCATTTCTTTTTGCAAATTATCCTCCTCCAGAGAGGCCCCTGCTGGGAGCTCATTTTCCCAGTAGCACTTGGATAGGACGGGCATTGAAAAGTTCCTTTTGGAGCATGATGAAGTTGAAGTTTTTTTCTCTCTGTTTCTGGTTGTGTCCACGTTCTGATTGGCTGAGAATGGACACAACCAGTGACTACAATTCCCAGAACCCTCTCATGCATTTTCTCTTATTTTAAAAAATGTTATGGTTACAACTCAAAATAATACTAAAAAAAATCAGTAGATTGGTGAATTGTTTTGAAACTTGGCAGGCTTGTAGTTGTAAATGGAATAGGTTTCATTGAGAAAGGACTCAAAATGACTAGGACTGAGCCTTTAAAATTTCCCATTGTAGCCAATGGGCCATATCTTCGCTGAATGGCAACAGTAACACCCCTTCCCTTTCGAGTAACTTTCAAGTAAACATTATGAGGGGTCAGCTGACAATAGGCTCCAGAACAGCATGACTTTTGGCCAAATTGCACATCTCTTATAGTAATCTGACGAAGACATCTGCTATGCTACTCTGCTGCTTAGTATGCATGCCCAGTGTGGAACACATCTCACCACACTAAAACAGTAGATGTGGCTCTTAATGAGACATGCCGCATTATCATGGGGTGTCTGCGCCCTACACCACTGGAGAAATTACAGTGTTTAGCCAGTATTACACCACCTGATATCCACCAGGAATTAGCAGCCAACAGTGAAGGACCAAGGCAGTGACATCTCCAGCTCATCCCTTGTTTGGGTATCAGCCAGCATGTCAATGATTTAAATCAATAAATAGTTTTCTAAGATCTACATTGACACTTGCTGGAACATCCCAGCGAGCGAGAGTCCAAAAGTGGCAGACTCAAACCCAGAACCTCAACCAATGGCTGATACCAAATGAGAGACTTCCCCCTGGGCACACAGAAGACTGGGCGACCAGTGGGGAGTCTCTCAAGGCGCTGATCAGACTGCACTCTGGCACCACAAGATGCAGAGCCAATCTTAAGAAATGGGGCTACAAAGTGGAATCCACGACATGCGAGTGTGGAGAAGAGCAAACCACTGACCACCTGCTGCAATGCAACCTGAGCCCTGCTACATGCACAATGGAGGACCTCCTTGCGCAACACCAGAGGCACTCCAAGTGGCCAGATACTGGTCAAAGGACATTTAATCAACTACCAAGCTTGCAAATTTTGTGTTTTGTCTGTTTGTTTGTTTGTTCTGTTAGAAATGTAATATAATTGTCTGGTTGCCCCTGACATGATAAATAAATAAAATAAAATAAATCTGATGAAGTCACATAGCTAATTGGGAAAGCACAGACTTTGCTTAAGAAAGATTCAGCTTCCCTGGCATCCCTCCCCCCCCAAAAAAAAAAAAAGCCTGGAAAATATTTCTTTAACAGTTTGGAGAAGAATATGCTTCTTCTATGAGCAGACATATGCAACCTATGCAAAAGGTCTGAAGTTCAATGCCTGTTACCAGTGTTGCATTTGTTAACTATACATTCCTGCAAGGCAAAGTGAAAAATGTAGACAGACCTCTTTGAATACTATGTAGTTTTTGAAGCAACTTTGTATATGCATGTATGTATATGCGAATGGGTTTCTCTACCAGCCTTCCCCGCATGACTTTGGAAGGGCATGTTGGAACTGCTACTCACCATGGAGCATCAAGAGGATATGGGGAGACAGAAAAGGATCTGAAGGTTATAGTTTTCCAAGGTTCATTCCCGGCATCCATTCATGTACTTGATATGCAACTTCAGGAAGATGGGAAAAACCTGTGCATACCATTTATTACTTCTTCAACCCACCCTTTTATATTGCAACATGGAAAGGGGCAATACAGAAAAGAATAGTTCTCTCCGTAGCATAGTCCATTCTTTAAAATAGTCCACTCTTGCTTTCCCCACTTGAAACCAATAGGGAATGGGGAAAGCAAGGAAGGATTTGCAGCATTACAGGATCCTTTTCTGACATTTCTGCACATTTTCATGCAACATGAGGAGGCGAGACACTTTGAGGAAGGCACCACCACAGCTCCAATGATGAATTAGTATGTTATGGAACATAACTTTTAGAGATGGAGGAGAACTCCTGAAAGTGAATGTAGACAACACTGCTACATTGAATAATTGTGTTATTTGCAATAGATAAGCTTCTTATGTTCATGTTGTCATTTGTACTTACTAGTTTAGATGAAAAAGTGACATTGTTGTGATTGTCAATGTATAATATAATGTATATAATGTTGTGGAAGTGCAGCCCACAAACCTCCAACATAAACTTGGGCTTGCATTACATTTCCCCCTAAGAAAATGATATAAGTGGTGTAATTCTACAACAGCATGTACACACATCTGATGAGGCTAGAGTCTATAAAAATTGTGACAACTATTATGAGATATCTAAGAAGTCTGAAAAAGGGGGGTTATAGATTTGGATCTACTAAACATGATGCTCTAAACATAGAGCAGAGATAGGAAAGAATATACCAGGCCTTTGTGGCATCTCCACTATAGAATTAATGCAGTTTGATACCAACTGCTATGGCTCTATGCTATAGAACTGTGGGAGCTGTAATTTTGAAAGATCTTCAGCCTTCTTTGCCAAAGAGTGCTAGTGCCTCACCAAACTGCAAAGCCTATTAATTAATCACCAAACTGCAAAGCATTAATTCTACAGTAGAGATACACCCTTAGATATAACTCATGTCTCATGAATTTCAGTTAGTGTATTCTGTTCATGACAAAATCTAGATCTAACACTATGGTAGTTTGAGAACATAAACCTAGTACTACACTAGTAAGATGACAGAATTACATTTACTTTTTCCCAAACATTTTCCCAAGCGCTCTCTTCACTTCTTTATTTTTCAAACTGTAAATAATTGGATTCAGCATAGGAGTCAAAATGCTATACTGAACAGAGAAAAGTTCATCCACCACTATTGAAGAGATGCTGCTGGGTTTCATGTACTGGGACATTCCTGTCATATAGAGTAAACCAACCACGGTCAGGTGAGAACTACAGGTAGAGAAAGCTTTGAGTCGTCCCTCCGTTGAGTGGATCTTCAAAATGGTGGAAATGATGTGAATGTAGGAGACCAAGGTTGGTAGAAAAGAACCAAGCCCAAAAACTACAACAGAAAAATAAAGGATTGTATTATTGAGGAAGGTGTCAGAACAAGATAGTTTCAACAATGGTGGGAGTTCGCAGCTAAAGTGCCAGATTTCATGAGAGTCACAGAACTGTACTTTTAATGTAGGCACTGTATTTATTACTGCAAAAGAAAAACCCATTAGCCATGAGCCCATCACCAGGCAACTGCATATTGATTTGTTCATGACCACCACATAGTGAAGTGGATGACACACAGCAGTGAATCTGTCATAAGCCATTGCTGAAAGGATAAACACTTCTGTAACACTCAAGAGAAGGCTGAAAAACATCTGTGTAAGGCAGCCAGTGGAGGAGATAGTCTTTTGCTTCATAAGCAAGTTTGCCAACATCTTAGGAACAATGTCAGTAGAGTAACAGATGTCAACAAAAGACAAATGAGAGAGAAAATAATACATTGGTGAGTAAAGTGAAGGGTCTGTTTTTATGACTAGGATGATTGTAATGTTCCCCGAGAGTGTTATGAAATAAATGGTAAAAAATATTACAAAGAAGAAGATCTGCAGCTGAGGATCACTGGAAAGTCCCAAGAAAATAAACTCTGATCTACCAGTTTGGTTTTCCATTTCTCCTTAATGATCTGTGGGAGAAAACAAAAATAAGAAGCAGGACACAATTAATTCAGAAATATTTACGTTAATGTTCTTTATACAAGTTGAGTATATTTAATCACCACTGTCTCATACTCACATGTAAATACAAATATTTACACACATGTTGCATAAAAAAGTTTGAAATATGTAACATTTTTAAATTATGAAGTCAGCATTACAGAATATTCTGGGAAATAATTCTGCACAGAAATACAATTAGGTTTTCTGCATAAAGACATACCTTCTGCTCAGGAAATAATGTTTACAGTGCAGAAATCACTTTTTCTCAACTGAAAAAGGCAGGTGAGAAAACTGATCTCTGTGTAAAACAAAAAAATGTGAATTTCGCACAAGAAAACCATATATTTTTCTACACAGAACAATTCCTTGGAACACCATTCAATCTGAAAACATTAGGAATAATTCTGCACAACAACATTGCTGTTTTCTTACAAGGGGAAAACTGCAGAAACTATTTACTTTTGCATAAAATACTGAAACAGGCAAAGATTTACATCTCTATGGCAGACCGGACAAATCTATTAAGAAAATTAAAGGAAATACTATATACTAATTTCTCACACATGTGTGAAATCATATTTAACTTCAGCTCATGCATATAAAACTCAGTCCCTTACAGAAGGGACTGAGTAAACAAAAATGTAGCATCAAATACGGAAGAAGTTTAAAATATGAAAATCCACATCATACAATTTCAACAGTTAGTCAGATACCTGAATTTCTTCCTCAAAAGCCTAGCAATAATTGAATGCTCATAAGAATCTCCTAATTTAGTAGTGTTAAGGGTGGAAAATACTGTACTATAATTCCCAATAAATAATTGTAAAAGCGAGATTTTATGGAAAGTTAGCAGTTCCTATCAGAGGCTGTGTTTCTGGAAAAAAAATAGAAATAGTCTGTGTTATAGGAAATAATAACTTACTGTGGAGATTTTTCAAAGGCTGATCAACTCACCCGATATGCTCAAAATCAATGGCATAACAGAATAAAACCTGTCTTCTGTAGTTAACATTTTAATATTTTACGATGCATTGAGCAAAGAACATGATTAATTTCTCTTTTTAAAATCGGTTGGGAGTGGGAATTCTCACCAAAAAGTGCAGGCAGCAAAATGTATTGTGAACATGGATTTAGTACGTTTCATATAAGGTTTGTATTAATCACCCAAATAACCAAACCATTTCCTTAGAGGAAAGGATTTCTCACTGGGCAACTCAAAGGAAATAATGATCACATTCAGTAGTTGCACCTCATTGCCTATCATATGCTTTTAATACCAGAAAAGTAACAATACAAACACTATCAAAAACTATTCTGCAGCAGGTTTTCCAATGAATTATTGGCTGAAATGATTCAAATGTAAAAAGACGGGAGTGGGAGTTACATATATTTTGCATATCTTGCATGAGTACTCTCCTTATTATTGAATTTCAGTCATTTTTATCATTAATTTATTGAAAACCCAAGGTAGGATTTCACCCCTAGAGCTCAGGTGAGGCATGAACAATGCTAACTAAATCAATGGGCTACAGCCTTTAAATTTCCTGTATATATTCTGATCTAAAATGGTCTGAGAACCATGAGGGCATGGGATGTCATTTGATCTTGCACATTAAGAAAGGTTAGCTTTGGTTATCACATCGCTGAGAGATGGCTAATTAATGACAAGTGCCAGTTCCTTCCTCAGAAAAAAATATCTTACAGAACCTACACTGAGTATTCCATGGCAAATATAATCCTTTGAAATTCACGGGGTCATTGAAAGGTGCACATCCCCATCCACACACCACACACATTCAGTTCATTTGGTATTATTATTATTATTATTATTATTATTATTATTATTATTAATAATACAGTTAGCAATACATAACAGTACAAACCTTGCCATACTATAACTCACTGTAGATGACTATTTACAGTTCTTGTAACTAAGTTTCAGGTTCCGTTTGTACTTTTCCTTTTCAATATAGATCCTTAGTTTCCCCTTGAATCTCCCCCACCCCATTCCCCCTCTTCCTACCACCCCTCTGGGTCTGCTTATATCAATACATTGATTTAATTGTCTGAATGGCTTGGTTTAAAGTTCTGTATCTATCATTTCCTTTTGTTTTCTCAATTAAACAATACAATTTCCCATTCCAGTTTTGTTTGAATAATTGTTCAAGTATTTATTTTTCCTTTGATTGATAAAGTCATCAATTAAATATTTTCAGAGGTAAGAACTCCAGGTTTCCATGTCTCAACTTGTTTGGTTTTTCCAACCTTGGTTGATTGTGGTGTTATGGCAGGTATCATAAATTTTAATATTTCTATCCATTCAGTTCATTTGTGATCCTTCTTAGTTCATGGCTTAGGACTTCATCACAAGAGGGAGACATAATTGCTGACAGACCCTACTGCAGTTTATTTATTTATTTATTTATTTATTTATTTATTTATTATATTTCTGTCCTGCTCTTCTCACCCCAAGAGGGACTCAGAGCTGATTACAGACAAGGCAAAATTCACTGCTGTATTATGAATACAAATAAACAAATACAACACATTAAGTGATAAAACCAATAAAACATATAAATACAATGAATACAGACTAAAACATAATGCCTAGTCCCAAGTTGTTATTTGTGGTGCTGTGTTTCAATTGAGCTTCATATTACATATTCCATATTACACCATTCCCCGAATGCCTGGCTCCAGAGCCAGGTCTTTTAGTTTTTCCTAAACCTCAGGAGGGATTGGGCAATCTGATGTCACTGGGGAGGGAGTTACATAGCTGAGGAGGGTAGCCACCACTGAGAAGGCCCTGTCTCTCATCCCCATCAGTTGCACATGTGAGGGGGGTGGGATTGAGAGCAGGGCCTCCCTGGCAGATTTTAGTGCTATAACTGGTTCATATAGGAGATAATTTCAGACATGTAAGTTGGGGCAGAACTGTTTAGGGTTTTATAGGTTAAAGCCAGCACTTCAAATTGTGCCCAGTAGCAAACAGGCAGCCAATGGACCTGATGCAGCAGGGGGGTTGTATGCTTATTGTATACCGCTTTTGGTGAGTAGCCTGGCTGCCATCCGTTGCACTATTTGGAGCTTCTGAACAGTCTTCAAAGCCAATCCCACGTAGAGTGCATTGCAGTAGTCTATTCAAGATGTAACAAGAGTGTGGACTACCGTGGCCAAGTCTGACTTCTCAAGGTATGGGCACAGCTGGCACACAAGTTTTAAATGCGTGAAAGCTCCCCTGGCCACTGCCAACATCTGGGTTTCTAGTATCAGCTATGAATCTAGGAGGACTCCCAAGCTATGAACCTGTGTCTTCAGGGGGAGAGTAACCCCATCCAGCATAGGTTGTAACCTTATGCCCTGTTTGGCCATCTTGTTTGAATTCAATTTGATTTGTTTGTCCTTATCCATATCGTCACAGCTGCCAAGCACTGGTTCAGGAGCTGGCCAGCCTCCTTAGCATCAGATGGAAAAAAGTGATAGAGTTGAACGTTATCTGCATACAGATGACACCAAACTCCAAAACTTTGGATAATCTCTCCCAGTGGCTTCATGTAGATGTTATTGATTATTTATTTATTTCTATATCAGTTACTCTGCATTTGGAAATGCTTGTTCAAAAAGCCACATCTTGACTTTTCTTCCAGAATGTTAAAAGGGAGGTGGCTGATCTAATATCTATAGGGAGGGTGTTCCACCACCAAGGGGCCACCACCGAGAAGGCTCTGTCTCTCGTCTCCGCCAAACGTACTTGTGATGAAGGTGGTAACAAGAGCAGGGACTCCCCAGATGATCTTAAGGTCTTAGATGGTTCATAAACAACAGGGGGACAGTACTGAACCCTGTGGGCCCCACAGGACAAAGGCTGTTGGGCTGAGCAGGTCTCCCCCAATAATACCTTTTTAAAGCAACCCTCCAGGAAGGACCAGAGCCACTGTAAAAAAGGGGCCCCCAAGTCCCATTCCCACGAGGCATCTCAGAAGGATACCATGTTTAACAGTATTGAAGGCTGCTGAGAGATCCAAGGGAACTAACAGGGATCTATTCCTCCTGTCAAGTTCCCTGCATAGATCATCCATTAAGGAGACCAAGGCTGTCTCAGTTCTGTGACCTGGTCTAAAGCCAGACTGCAACTGATCCAGATAATCTGTTTCTTCCAAGAACACCTGGAGTTGCAAGGTGACCAAATGTTCCAGGACTTTGCCCAAAAATAGGGAGATTGGAAACTGCCCAAAAGTTATTGAATAGAGTGGGGTTCAATGATGGGTTCTTTTCAACAGCAGTTTTATGATGGCCTCCTTTAGGCCCACTGGAATTTTGCCTTTTTGAAAGGAGGCATTAACCACCACCTTCACCCACTTTGCCAAATGCCCTTTGGCTTCTTTTATCAGCCAGGGTAGACAGGGGTCTAGGATGCACATGGTTGCCCTCACCTCTCCAAAGGTCTTATCTACATCCTCAGGTTTAATTCATTTAATTCATGCCATTAATTCACTTTCTCCTATTGATGACAAAAAAAACATCAACAGCTGCCAATCCTATCTTGTATGATAGGGTCATGTCAGGTCATGGGATTTTCTGATCTTACTATTTCAGAAATGTTTTTTTTTTAAAAAAAAACAAACCTTACAATAATTTTGGCATTTTTTTAGCCATTTTTTTAAATAGCTGTGGAATAGTGAATAAGGAGGGGAAGGAAATGGAAGAGCTGGGAAAACCAGATAAATATTTTTTTTCTTCATTTTTAGACTTCATTATTTGAATGATATTGTCAGAACAAATATCACTGATACTGAATATATCATACTTTATTATATCACCAGCCTCTGCTCTTGGTCACAGCACTTAGAGGGTGCCTATATGTCTTAGCGGAGCCCCCGGTGGCACAGTGGGTTAAAGCACTGAGCTGCTGAGCTTGTTGATCGAAAGGTCGCAGGTTCGATTCCGGGGAGTGGCGTGAGCTTCCGCTGTCAGCCCTAGCTTCTGCCAACCTAGCAGTTCGAAAACATGCAGATGTGAGTAGATCAATAGGTACCGCTCCGGCGGGAAGGTAATGGCGTTCCATGCAGTCATGCCGGCCACATGACCTTGGAGGTGTCTACGGACAACGCTGGCTCTTCGGCTTAGAAATGGAGATGAGCACCACACCCCAGAGTCAGACATGACTGGACTTAATGTCAGGGGACTACCTTTACCTTTACTATATGTCTTAGCAGGTTATCACCCCAAAATCTCTTAGTTTGTGATGATCCTAGTCTGGTAATGTGAGTAGACTAGACATGTGCTGCACTGCACATATGTGTGTGTGCTTAGTACATATATATCAAATTTTCTTTTGATGTTTTAATTTTTCCTCTTGGGAAATTTGAATTCTCTTTCCCACATGAGATTATACAAGCTCTGCTTCTTCTATATCTTCAGAGTGAGTTCAATTAGAACTGAATATTTACAGGCACACACTGGAACCCATTCAACACATGTGCACCATTTCTTGTGTCATCACTTCTGTTCAAGGCAGCAGCTCTTACACCTTTCTTCTCATGCCTGAAAGCAGGTCTGCTGTCACTGGTCTCTGAATCGGGGAACTTCAAGCTTCAAATTTCCTTTGCCTAGTGCCTAATATAATGAATGTTCATTAAATTAGCTCTTCTATATCTGATATGTTGTTCTATGGTTTCTTGTTTCCACCAAGAACTACACGTCTTGGAAGACATGTGAACAGTCAAACTGGGAAAGACCAGATTTCAGAATAGAAGAAATAGCCACAAAATGTGAACAGCCATAAAGCATGAAACCAGAGTTCCAAGAAGCTACTGAAGACATAACTGAAGTTCAGTTAAAAGGTATTTCGGTCTTTTCATACTTTTAAATAATTTTGTTACATACTATATTCTGTTTCAAAGGAAACAATTAATGATTCCACATAATCACTGAAATAGCAATACCTAAGAAAACAAACAAAAACATACACTTTTATAGCCAAGTGCAGAATCATCTCATTATACCTTGAGATATAAATTTAAGAGCAGCAGGTATTTATTATGTCTGATATGGCACTTTTTAAATTTTGAGAATGGGGAAGTACAACACAAACTTAGAATCTGCTTTCAATTGGGTTACTGGATAAATTATCGAGATAGAAATGCAACTTTCTTTGAATTAATGGGGAGCATAATGGATAATATTTAGGCTGGAGATACTACAATAATTGGAACTTTTAATGTTTCCATGGGAAACAGAATGAACATAAGATAAGTATGGGCAATTAAGAGGCATTTCTGCTAATTTATTTCATTTCAGTTTAACAATAATATGCATAATAGCATATGGGATCCAAAGAGCATATTGCTGCAGAAGTGCTACCATCATTCTTTATTATCTCTCTTTTTTCAGGCTACTGCTGTGATGTGCTACAGAGGTGGTGGTGGTAAGAAAATTGCTTTCTAACTGGTTTCCTTCAATGCTACCCATTTTTGACCTGATCTGAGTCATGTAAGAAATTTAGTCTCCTAAGAATTTTTAAATGGGATTCTGTAGCTCCCCAAGAAAACATAAACATGGACACAATTTGCTACCAGGAATTAGACTAATAGTAACTGCTTCCATGCTGTAGATTGCATAGCATATAAAACATTTCTGCAAAGTGGTCAATGAACAGTTTTCAAAAAATGATTTTAAAAAAGAAACTTCAAACAATTCAAAATGGTTAAGACAGCTCTGCAAGGCAAAAATTCACGTCACTTTTTTATTATGCTGATTTTTAGATTTGGAAAGACTCTGCATTAATATCCAAAACTGAGAATATAAAAGAGATGCACTTTGTTTTGTTCTTCTGATCCAAGCAGTTTAACTACCACACTATAAACACACCATACATTAAAGGGTCTATGGGGAGATAGTTTTTGTCTCAATTCAGTTCCATTTACTTTCTACACCAGGAGACAGACATGGAAAAAAAAAACCCTCCTCAAGTAACACATTTTGAAATATGCCTCTTGAACTATGTGTGAGTTCAAAATGTGCAGTTATGCTCTAGCAAAAACTTCCAGAAAAATTGAGTTTAAAATCTGGGACACTTCCATTCAAGTTGTATTCTGCAAGGATCCTTTTTTTTATTTAAGTTTTTGTTTTACTCATTGGCTGGAAGTGACAAATACAGGGAATGTTCTTCATAAGAATTTCATGACTGTATAAAAGAAAGGGAGTAATGAGCATCACAATATTTTACCAATTCACTTTGCCCAAACTGATTTTTTTTCTCTCTCTCATTCACAGTATAAACTTTTGATGGAAATGGAAAATCAAAACTCCACTGTAACCCTTTTCATTTTCTTAGGCTTTTCAAATGAACCATTAGTCCAAATGTTCCTCTTCTTCACTTTCTTATTTATATATATCATAACACTAATGGGAAATATAACAATCATGATGATAATAAACGGAAAGAGCAGCCTCCACAGTCCAATGTACTTTTTCCTAAGTCATCTCTCTTTTATCGATATTTGTTTTAGTTCAGTTACAGTGCCAAAACTGTTGGCCAATGTCTACGGGTACAGGACAATTTCACACAATGGCTGCATCACCCAGATGTTTTTCATTTTGTTAATAGCAACCACTGAAACTTTTGTGCTTGCAGCAATGGCTTACGATCGATATGCTGCCATCTGTAAGCCCTTGCATTATGCACAAATCATGAATCTGTCATTTTGTAGGCAGTTGGTGGGAGGTGCATGGGCCATGGGTTTCACACAGGCATTGTCAAATACAATACCAACAATAAGGCTAATGTTCTGTGGTCCAAACATTATTAGGCATTTCAGCTGTGAACTCCCATCTTTACTCACACTATCCTGCTCTGACCCTTTTCTGAATAGCCTGACATTTCTTGTTACTGCTTGTATACTCATATTCTTTTCATCCACTGTTATTTTATGGTCTTATATCAACATTATCTCTTTAATTCTGAAGATTCATTCAGCAGAAGCTAAAAGGAAAACCTTTTCTACTTGCAGTTCTCACCTCATCATTGTGGGTCTGTTTTATGGCACTGGGTGCCTTAGATATATGAGGATAAACTCAGCCTCCTCAATTATCATGGAAGAATATTTTTCTGTTCAATACAGCATTTCAACCCCCATGCTGAATCCCATTATCTATAGCCTAAAAAACAGGAGCATTAAAGAAGCAATCAAGAAATTAATTAAATGTATACCTCCATCTTCAGGGCGCAGGAAATGAATGGACATATTGATAAATTTTGCACTTATACTAAGGCCCATCAAGATTTCTCATTACATATGTATCTGCAAGTACAGACTTCCCAAATTGCAGAAAAATTTCAAAATCAAAGCATTTCTGGATCCAAGCATTTCAAATAAGGGATATTCAACCTGCATGTTCTGAGAATTAGAACAGAGACCTATGTTATACAAGCAGCCCCCAGTTTACAAACAATACAGGCTTTGTAGGTTTTGAATTAAGTTGAGTTTATATATAAGTTGGATAAGATATATTTTAAAGTGTAACTCTATTCATTTTTTTAAGTTTTGGACAGTTTAGAGAATCTTTGTAGCATTTGTTTCTCCCTATGGCAATTAGATTTTGAAAATTTTAGGTTGCTGTGGAAACAATGAAACATCTTTTCTCCATGCTAACTCTTACAAGAGTGAATTTCCCTTCCTATAGATCTCCTTTCACTTCCTGTTGTCTTACCCCCTTTTGTAAGTAGAATTCATATGTAATTTGGATGTTTGTAACTCGGGGACTGCCTGTAAATGTAATATTTTAGAATTTTCAGCCATCTTATGACTAAATTTAGAATTTGGAGAAGTATTGTCATATTATTTAATTAAAATAACCAGCAGCTATGGAAATTTCATGAGGTCTAGAAAAACAGAGGAAATAGGAGGAAAGTCAGCTATAGGAGGAAAGTCAGAATTATAATCACAGTATGGACAAATTGCAGGAAGAACTGTGCAGAGAAAGTTCAAACAAGACACGTAGAAGAGGATTTTGTGGTAGGACTTGTGAGGTTTTGCAGCAAGAGTGTTCTGTAGAACCTAATTATGGCACAAAATTCCCTGCCAATGATGTGATACTATATATATCAAAATGGAATATTTGTGTAAACTGGTATACTGAAATATATCTTGTCTAAATGTAGCAATTAATTAAAAGAAATAAATAGTTCAAATGCTGCTCTGGAAGTTCCAACTGTTTTCTTGCATCCTAATATTCTAATATTTCAAATATTTTGTTTCTTGAGTACAAATGACTTTCTTCTTGAGCTTTTCCTACATGAAGTATTCCACTCACTTTTAATTCTTGATTTCACTTCAATTTTTCTTATGTTCCTACTCCTCATCTTCTGTTTCTTTTTTTTCTTTTCTTATTAGTCACCTCCCACCACATCTAAATTTGTATTCCTTTGTAGCCTTCTTTTTCTGGTTTCTATAATTCCTAGTTAAATGTCTTTCCTACATCAGCCTTCTAATTTTCTTCCTCTATCTCTTCCTTTGTCTTCAGTTCCTGCTTCCTTAATTTCTTTCTTGTCCCTGAGACTGCTATAGGGAAGGCATGATTTGATGACCTCTATGGATAAAAAGCTTAGGTAAAGTTCCTCAGTGTGACATGACTAGACTTAGCATGTATAATAGACTAAATTCTATTTCTGTGTCCTGATATATCCATGTATATGTTCTTTGCCAACGTTGCTCTAGTCTCAGTCGCACTTGCTGCATAGCCACCAATGCCTTGGAAAACCAAGGGGCTGGTTTGGCTCTGCTTCATGAAAAGATACAGATCAGAGTACTACATGGGGAATAAACAATACAAATAATAAAAAGGTCATAACACCCTTGTCTTAGTAATATGAAAAAGACCAAGTAATTTGGTCTTCTTTACTTTCATTTTAATTTTTCATTGCATTTAATCATCTTCTATACATACATTATTTACTACTGAATCCTGAGGCAGAGAAAAGGTAATTGGAGATCTAACGATAGATACATTTCTTCCTCATTTCATTCTTAAAATTATTTATGCCCAAATAAATAATGTATGCTTCCCTTTTTAAAATTATTCTTTCTTTTGGCTTTTATTGGGGCAAATTCATTTGTGCATAAATATGCATGGCTTTTTTCCACAAAAAACAAACAAACCAAAACCACATTTTTCGAGCAAAATTTGGCATATTGTGCAAAAAGCAATGGCTTTGTGCAGGAATCCATCTATTTACACAAAAATCATAATTTCCCATAGAATTTCCCAAATTATCCCAAAGATCAGGCTTTCACAACCCCAAGCCATCAGACTTAAAGTGTACATTCAAGAGTGCTACCCTTAACTAAAAGCTGTCAACCTTTATCTCCCCCCCCCCAAAAACACTGCTCATAAATACCTATTTATAGATACCACTATAGACCAATTCACACTGTTTTCAAGATGCATTATGTGGTAGGCAGAAATGAACCACACTGAAGGCGGGAGGATGGGTTGTAATTTGGAACAAAGATATGCATGGGTAGAACATGCTTAAATTGTCTCAGAGCAATGTTCCCTGCATTTCAAAGAGTCTAGATGGGCCAAAAATGGTTTGCCCCAATTTACCTATCCTGTTGCTTCTGTCATGGCAGCATCTAGTCAGAGAGCTTGACTTCACTAAAGGTGGCCAATGCCACTAATGGCAAAGAGCTATCTGGAGCTATCCAGCTGACCTTCATGCTGATGGGAACAACATAGACTCAATATATGACATTTTCTATCAACTGTCAAATGCAGAGAATAGGGATGGCAGCATCACCCCAAGTAGATAGCAGAGCATTTCATTTTGGAACTGGTCCACTGTTCACAATCAACCTGACATTTGAGGTTCAGTCCAGTTTACCCCACATGAAAGATCAGACATCGTTGGAAACTACCTAGACTTCCAGGTTTGACTTCTGGGGAAATTTGGGGTAAAGGAGGAGTTGTTCTCTATTTAAAGAACTGCAATAGTCAGAAAATGACACGGTATGTACTGTTTTATGAACTTTTGTATTTTTAGTAGCCATTTCCAACATATCCTTCTTCTCTGAGGGGTTTGAATTGTTTGATTGATTTGCTGATTATATTTAAATTTATCAAATAGATGTTCCTTCCATATGTAAAAGAGTCACAAGTTCCTTCCATAAATAAAAGAGTCACATCCTACAAAAAACATCCAATAAAACATCGATTGATCAATCGATCTATCTATATAAAAGGCTGTGTATAAAACTAGGGATTATTCCAAAAGGAAAATCATCCAAACAGTAAATCATCATAACACTTTCACTCAATTAGATGAACGGTTAGAAGGCAGGATCATCAAGTTTGCAGACGACACCAAATTGGGAGGGATAGCCAATACTCCAGAGGACAGGAGCAGGATTCAAAACGATCTTGACAGATTAGAGAGATGGGCCAAAACTAACAAAATGAAGTTCAACAGTGACAAATGCAAGATACTCCACTTTGGCAGGAAAAACGAAATGCAAAGATACAGAATGGGGGGTGCCTGGCTCGAGAGCAGTACGTGTGAAAAAGATCTTGGAGTCCTCGTGGACAACAAGTTAAACATGAGCCAACAATGTGATGTGGCGGCAAAAAAAGCCAATGGGATTTTGGCCTGCATCAATAGGAGCATAGTTCTAGATCTAGGGAAGTAATGCTACCCCTCTATTCTGCTTTGGTTAGACCACACCTGGAATATTGTGTCCAATTCTGGGCACCACAATTCAAGAGAGATATTGACAAGCTGGAATGTGTCCAGAGGAGAGCGACTAAAATGATCAAGGGTCTGGAGAACAAGCCCTATGAGGAGCGGCTTAAAGAGCTGGGCATGTTTAGCCTGAAGAAGAGAAGGCTGAGAGGAGATATGATAGCCATGTATAGATATGTGAGAGGAAGCCACAGGGAGGAGGGAGCAAGCTTGTTTTCTGCTTCCCTGGAGACTAGGACACGGAACAATGGCTTCAAACTACAAGAGAGGAGATTCCATCTGAACATGAGGAAGAACTTCCTGACTGTGAGAGCCGTTCAGCAGTGGAACTCTCTGCCCCAGAGTGTGGTGGAGGCTCCTTCTTTGGAAGCTTTTAAACAGAAGCTGGATGGCCATCTGTCAGGGGTGATTTGAATGCAATATTCCTGCTTCTTGGCAGAAGGTTGGACTGGATGGCCCATGAGGTCTCTTCCAACTCTTTGATTCTATGATTCTATTATTCTAATTCTGGAAATCAAGCTAGGAGATTTGAGACTTCTAAGTCCAGAGCGACATTCAGGTAAATAGATTTTCTGAATCATCTCTAAGTTTCAAAACTCTGCTGACTCTGTAGATTTTTATCCCCAAGGACCAATTAAGAATTCCAATAACATTTTCACATTTTTCTTCAAAACATATGCAACAATTTCTTCATTGGTCTGTAGTTCCAATGAACAAACAGCAGCCACCAGAAATTCATGGAACGATAAATAGATAAATAGAGCATGAGTCTTACTTCTTATTAGGCTGTATGCCACTCTGTTCCTTGATTTGTTAAAAAAAAAAAAGTATTTTCAGGCACAGAACAGGAAAGAAGAACAAGGCATGAGCAACTTTCCTCTCTATCTGCCTTTAAAATTGTGACTTAAAAAGGACAAGAATTCCTTTTTTGATTTATTGTCTTGGTAAACTCTTCAGGTGAGTTTGACTTGGTTACTTGTGCTTAATAGCAAAAATATAGATAAAGACTATGGCATATTTGAAATTTTTTGAGCATGCTTTCAAGTTGTCCAGTAAAGATAAGGCTAACTTGTGTTTTTTTTAATAAAATGAATAAGCTTAATGAAATAAATATGAACATTAAACATAAATGTTATTTTAGTGATGTCCGTAATGTATAAAATGCAACCTTCACCACAGGTTTGCAAAGTTTACAGCCCTCCAGAGGTTTTATTACAAATACCATAAGTTCAATAAATATAATTTCTGGTAATGTCATAACAGATTTTATTTATTTACTTACTTTATTTATACCCTGCCCTTCTTATCCCGAAGGGGACTCAGAGCAGCCTTACAGACAACTGCAAACATTTAATGTCACATGGTCTAGAAGACTAGTCAATCTCTTTAAGCAAAGAGCCATTTGCTGACCAGTGATTTATGCCACCCGGTACAAGTGTAACTTTGCAATGAATACAAAATATATTTTAGTTTATTATCAGAATGAATTTACTACAATTTATAAGATTACACCATCCCATTCCCCCTTCCATGTTCCTTCAGTATTTTCTCTTGTTAGGAACCTGTTTAATTCTTTCAGAGTTCTAATTTGGAAAAGGATAGGGGAATGTTGCTTGGCAGTTTGTGGATTGAATTTGGAGGGGGGGGGGTATTGTGTGTTTTAAAATCCATTTTAATTGTATTTGTTGTATTTTACATATATTTTAACCTAAGACACAGTTCTGTTTAATTTTTAAATCATATTTGCTTTATTTTAAATTGAAAAAGGGTGTGTGTGTGTGCGTGCTAGTCACCTTGAATAAGGTGGGCTATAAATTAACAATCGCAAATTTTTTAGGTGAGATTAAGCATTATGTTTTCAAAAGGTTGTTTTCTGCCCTTATTCCACACCAACAATGGGAATATTAGTTCCTTCAGATGTTTCAAAGTTTAATTCCAACAACCAGAATTTTGCTACACGTTGGTTTCTGGGAGTTTAGATCCAAAATGTCCTTAAAGCACAAGTTTTCCTACAGAAACTCTATTATTCAGATTGAACACTCTCACTCAAACACATCCTTCAACTTGGATTACCTGGGTTATTTTTGTTCGTTTCTTTTGAAATGAATCATTCATTTTTCTTCTTCTTCTAAGGTTCCGTGTGTTACCACTGAACTATCAATGGGAAACCACACAGATCAACATCAATTTTACCTTACTGGACTCTCCAATAATATGCAGCTTCAGATTCTTTTCTTTCTTCTTTTCTTGATCATTTATTTGCTAACCCTGCTGGGGAACTCTTTGATCATGCTGGCTATAAGAACCAATTGTCATCTTCAGAATCCAATGTACTTCTTCCTGAGCCACCTCTCTTTCCTTGATTTGTGTTTCTCATCAGCCACTGTCCCAGAGATGTTGAAGACCATCATTGCAAAGCAGAAGACCATATCCATTGGAGGCTGCTTCATACAAGCCTTTTTAATAATGATGTTAGCTACTACTGAGGTTTTCATCCTGTCATCCATGGCATATGACAGGTATTCTGCCATATGTAAACCCCTCCATTACATTGAAATAATGAATGCAACTTTTTGCCAAAAATTAGTAGCTACAGCATGGATGGTTGGCTTCTTTTATGCAGTGGCAAACATATTACCATTGTTAGCATTACAGTTCTGTGGAACACATGTCATAAAGCATTTCAGTTGTGAGTTGCCTTCCATCCTCTCTCTTTCATGCAGTGATACATATGCAAACAAAATATTGTTTTTTATTAGTGGAAGTGCAGTTGGACTGGTCTCCCTGTTCCTCACCATTCTGTCCTACATTCACATTACTGCTACTGTCCTCAAAATCACCTCCACTGAAGGAAGACATAAAGCTTTTTCTACATGTACCTCACATCTCATTGTTGTGATTCTTTTCTATGGAGCTGGTTATTTCCGCTATTTGAGGCCAGCTTCCATTTCATCTGTAGTTTTAGATGAAATATTTTCCATACAGTACTGTGTCTTTACATCTTTTCTTAATCCCATCATCTATAGTTTACAGAACAAAGAAGTGAAAGCAGCATCTAAAAAGCTTCTGAAAGAAGCATTTAAAAAGTTGTTTCACCAAAAATCCTGAAATTCTGATTTTTTAAAAACATTTTAAAAAGAAAAGCACATAATGAATAAAATGCATCTCATTTAACAATACAGCTACAGTCTTGCCCTGTCCGCAATTCTCTTTGCCCAGCAAAACTGAGAGGATTACTTTCTCGATAGTATTAGGAAAAAGAGTTGTTTGTTATGCCTGTAAATTAAAAAAAAATGCATCATTAAGCAACATTTATTTACAAGATGCTTGTATTAGGAGAGATTCTTACAAAACTATATATAATCATTCATTTGTATTTTTTTTCATTTTAAACAAATTGCTAACATTTAGTCTTACAAAAGCCACGAGACTGCATCTCCCAGCATTCTTCCCCATAGGTTTTGCTGTCTAGGACTAAGTAACACTGCAGTCCAACATACTGGGACTAAATGATTCCCACTAACAACTGCAGATATAGTGGGGAATGATGTCCCATTATCAGTACTGAAGAAACCTGTAGCTATCCATTTGCTTTGTATTTTGTTCTTTGTCCCAGTCAGCAAAATGTTATAGGTTTTTACCATGTGTTTGTTCAGAACTTATCCACAGTGCCTCAAATATTATTCTTATTCTTCATTGACACATTGTTTCTTTGCGTTCCTATGACCCTTCAAGGTAACAGAGACTTAAATTTTCATTTGTTATATATGCTCACATCTTCTTGATAAAATATTGACCTTAAATTTCATGTGCCTTCTTTCTTTCCAGAGCATCACGGAACTCAATTGATTCAGATAGTTGGCAATCTACCAACTATTTTCAGGTTTTTTTACAATTTGGCTTTCAAAAACAGAAAAAAAATCATGTCAATGCTTCTTATAAACAGAAAATTAAGATATAGAGTTTACAATAAACACGTTTTCCGTAGTTAAATCTATTATGAAAAATTAAAAGTGCAACAGGACCAATTTTAATTGTAAGGTTCATTTGTAATCAGACCTGTCTAGAAACGAAATATGCTAATAGCCATTTGCTGCTATTACATCCCAACATTAATATTCATAGGAATGCTGAATTCAAATGGCAATGTTCCATATAGCCAGAATAGAGCATATGCGTTGACAAGCATGTTAATTTATAAAAAAAAATTCAGTCTTAGGTACTTTATGGCTAAGCTATGCATTATCTTAAATACATAAGATGCAGCCAGCTCTTGGTGTTTGATTGGACCATCCTGATTTTTCCACAAAGAGCTTACTTTGGACAAAATACATTCTGTATATAAGTTTAACCCCCTCTAGCTTATTTATTTTTTTCAAATGGCTGTAGTTGCCCTGCCACCTCGAGAAAAATAGAAAAAGAATTGAAAAGACAAATAAACACTAGTCTTTTTTCAGTTTTGCACAAGTTGATATCTTATCTTAATATCTGTCTTATATTCATAAAAAAATGAACCAATGCCTGAACACTGTGTGAAGATCATCAAAAGATTGTGATACTTTCATCAGTTGCACTTCTATTTTTGGCTGTTTCTTTTTAAAGAAAACTTCATTAGTTCCCATGCACTGGAATGAGGGGTAGTGAAGGGCCCTTCCACACAGACCCAAATCCAATGACAGGTCACGGGTTTACCTGAGGCATCCAAACAATGCCTCTAGAGTAAACTGGAATTTCCCAGTTTACTCCAGATTAATTGAACACCTAGAAAGATCTGGACATTACTGCACAGTCTGGATCTTTTCAGATGTGGGCCCATCTTCAAATTTCCTGACACATTATTTTGATGCATCTGGAGCTTTCACTGAGGGCCCTGAGCATGCAGCCAGGCCACTCAGGTAATTTTTGGGGAAAATGGGGGCTGGGGGCTGGCTGGCTGCTCTTCTGGGTCAACATCTGGTTGATTCAGGAGGGCATGTAGCCACCACCCCAACAAAAGTATGGGGTTGAGGACTGGTTTGAGACTTGAACCCCAGGAGGAACTGGGATTAAACATCTAAGTTCCTCCTGAGATTTGGCCCTTTCTGGAAGGACCCTAAATAAGTTGTTTTTTAAACCCAATGTAAATTGCAATATTTTGAATTTGAGGATTAAGGCTAGGAGAATGTTTAATATAAAGGTTTGCATGATCTCTTCAACTAAATGGGACCAACCCCGCTCTGGTAAGAACTGAAGGCATGACAATAAACCTGGATGTTATAGCAGACTTAAATTTATTCAAGTCAAACCTATAAGCAACATGGAATGCTGGTACAGTAAAATCAGCCTGCATGATTCTAGAAGCCATCTGTAATGGAATAACTAATTACAATGGAGGTTTTGCCTGTGTTTATTAATGTTGATATATGACAAGTGCAGGCAGGAGTTGGCTACATATGATCGGTTGATGCATTGCCATGGTTGTGTAGCCTCTGCAGTAGAAATGTGTCAATTTTAGAGTAGCTAGTAAGTAATAGGGACAGAACTAACTGAGAAATGAGGCAGTCTCTAGCCAGCAGAGCTAGAGTGAAGAGGTTCCTTGTTTAAGTTTGAGTCTTCAGCTGTGATACTAAAGTAATAAAGGAACCATTTTGAGTCAGGCTCTAGAATCATAGAATCAAAGAGTTGGAAGAGACCTCATGGGCCATCCAGTCCAACCCCCTGCCAAGAAGCAGGAATATTGCATTCAAATCACCCCTGACAGATGGCCATCCAGCCTCTTTAAAAGCTTCCAAAGAAGGAGCCTCCACCACACTCCGGGGCAGAGAGTTCCACTGCTGAACAGCTCTCACAGTCAGGAAGTTCTTCCTCGTGTTCAGATGTAATCTTCTCTCTTGTAGTTTGAAGCCATTGTTCCGCGTCCTAGTCTCCGAGCAAGCAGAAAACAAGCATGCTCCCTCCTCCCTCTGGCTTCCTCTCACATATTTATACATGGCTATCATATCTCCTCTCAGCCTTCTCTTCTTCAGGCTAAACATGCCCAGTTCCCTAAGCCGCTCCTCATAGGGCTTGTTCTCCAGACCCTAGTCAGTGAGCTAGAGGGAAGAAGATCCTTGTGCAGGACTATACTTTCAGTTGTAGTACTGAAGTAATAAGAGATTAATTTGAATCTAAGTCCTCAGTCGGGTGGAACTGAGAAGCAGAGATTTCTTTGAGAATAAGTTTACAGTTAAACTATTGATAAGAAGAAGAGACTATAAGATACCAGTTATCCAGTCAGAAGGTTGAGAAGGAATTACATTTGAAAGAGAAGAAAGTTATCTAACCAAGTTGACATAAGATAAACTGTTCTGTAAGTTATATAGTAACAGCTTTATGTATTCACAAGAGTAAAAGACAAATGTAACAATATCCAGGAACTGAAGCAAAGTACTGTGTAACAAATATGCTTTATGTGCACAAAAACCCCCATAAATAAACATTTCTTTGTTTCAAACATTTCTAATTAAAGACTCGTGTCAAGTTATAAAATTGAAGTTATATTCCAGAAAGTCGGCTGTCTACAGTATTGCATTACACATCAAAAAGACATATACAGACATTTAAAATTAAAACCTGCAACAAACAAATATAAGAAAAGATGCTGAGTTTCTGCAAGGTTTCTTCTCTCCCCTTTATCATCATCATCGCCTGGTGCCTACATATACATATAAATGTATTGGTGGCAGAAGGTGGTATATTAAAAATAAAACATAACAAAATATAAAAAGTAAAAGAAAGAAGTTCCCCTTCCTGCCTGAAACCCTGTTGTATCGCACCATCCCATGTGTACAATTTGATAGATGCCTCTCCTTAAGCTTACATGTAAAATAATAGCCTTTTGCAATCTGTCCCAACCAAATTCTCCAACTTGTTAAATAGAAGCGGGGGGGGGGGGGGGGATCTGTCTCGATGGGCCACAGTAGGATAGCCCCATTGCAGCCCACCAGTCAGTATTCCTAAGGACATGACCCAAAGGAAAACTCAAAGTGGCCCTATGTTCCAGTCAGCTAGTGATCCAGATCACTGTGGTTTAAATATAAGAGCTCACAAAGAGTTAGTTCAATTCAGCTCAGTCACAGGGTTTTCAGCAGGACGAAGGAAGAAGCAACATAGTGAATGTCAACTGGTCCAGAAATTGTCCAGATAAACAAAGACAGCCAATATTAAAACAGAGCAACATGAAATAGGCAATAAAATTCCCAAGCTATCCCAAATATGGTATTTGAAAAATAAATAGCCACCCATAAACTTCAAGGAGTATCCCTTCACCTCGCTAGACATATGTTAATGGACACAGGTTCAAAAGAGTTTAGAGGCTAAAAATCTTTCTTAGAACCACATGTAGCCCTCAATGCTTTGATGATTAAATTGTATGTGCATTGTCATAAAGTACATCATAGCAAATATTACATAAACTATCATAAACTATCATAGCTTTTTGCAACAAAACAAAACAAAGCCATGTATTACAAATAGGAAACAGATAAGATTGGGCATCTGAGATGATGTACATTGATCGATCTGTTAGCCAGAGAAAACAAGAGAGTGAAATGCAGTCAGAATTAGAATGCCAGCTTCTGCATGTGGCTGGATGCACTGTTCCCTCTTTGTTTTCACATGTCTGCCCAATATTTTGGCACTGTCTTCTAACTGAGAAAATCTAAGTGGGTATGGGCTGGGCTTTTCTAATATCAATTTTATTTGTTTGTCTGGAATTATAATATGACAGATAAATTGAGAAGTGTGAAAAATCATTTCAAATCACAATTTGCAATGAATTATTTTGAAGGTATTCATTCTGGCATGTGAGAGCAAAGTAAGTAAACTTTTGCATCCCTATAGTTCTCCAAGCTGCAGTGTTCTAATTATAATTCACATAATTTTTCTCATGGGAAATCAAACATAATATAAGGTCCAGAAACTAGAATATAATCTGAACAAGTTTCTTTGCAATCCAGTGCAAATATGGCACAAACAAAACTGGGCTTTGATGAGGTTATCTACAGATCCCATTCAACAGAAATATTCAATTTCTGACCTCCAGCATAGATACTGCAGGATCTAGGTGGAACCAAAATAGAAACTGCTACTGCTGAGATCTGTACAGCACAACTAATTTTTAAAGAAAGTATTTTCTGCTCTGTTTATCTTACCATAAGAAGTTTTGCAGAGAAAAAGCAGCCAGGTGGATACAGTATGTGCTGGCATGGATTGAACTGAACTTAGATTCTTGATTTTTTTTCCAGGATTGTATCATGCTTACCACTTATAAAGCTGGTTCGTCACTATTCAACAAGATGAAATGAGCTGAATGCAAGGTAATTGGTTTCAGTAAGATAGCTGTGTTATCACTTTACTTTCCCCTGTCCAAGATGGTTGATTAAGAGTTTTCCTTTCTTGATTCAAGGATGATAGTTAAAAAACTGCTACTGTGTTTTACCATTCCTTCTGTTGGGAAGGAAGACAGGCATCCATAAAAAGGGTGACATTAACTTCTCCTAAATCACTCTATCAATGGGACAAGTTAATCATAAATAAAGTTTCTCTGATTTAAGTGGGAATATTCTGTCTGAGGCGTTATCTACAATGACCATTTAATGAAGTTTGAAATTAGCTTCAAACTATTGCAGCCAGACAACCAACTCGCACAAAACTGCATGAAAGAAAACCATTATAATAATATTTATTTATTTGATCAGTCATATGACCATTTCAAAATAGAACATGAGTAAAAAACAAGGCAACAAGGTGAAGACAGCAGCCGACCTTCTATTTATAGAATCTTATTTTCCTGGTTCTTCTTTCAGGAAATCTGCTCTTTTCTTAATAGCTTTCAGAATAAAAAGGCTTACTCTGATTATGCTGGATCTTTCTTGCCCTTGCAAGAGGGATGTCAGAATATCATTTCTGTTGGGGGACATGCAGTTGGATAATATTGGATGTAAATCTGTCTCGCAGTTCAGTATATGCTGGACAGTCAATTAAGAAATGTTCAATGTCTTCCACTGTTTGTTCTCCCCAGACGCAGAATCTCTCACTTCTTGGGATGTTACAGTTGCGCCCAGTTTGCACCATAGTACCGAGTTGTTCAAACCTAGCCCTAGTATATATTCTTCTGAAAGAAAACCATTAATGTGCATTAGTACTTCAAACTAGATTCCAAGATTTCATATGTAATATCTGCATTTAGAAAAAAACCCACTTTTTTCAATACCAGTTTGAAGCTGAATCAAATGGTCAATGTAGATGGGGCTTTGGATATACATTACATATTCTAATTTGATTGAAAAAGCAGCTGAAATCTGGTTTCTTAGGCCACTCAAAGTGTGTAAATGCAAAAGAGATTTTTTTCTCGATGTAGAATCTTTTAGGTTGCTACTGTTGCTATTTCTTGTTGTATTATTTTCGCTTCTACACAACTGCAGCTCTATACTGTAGAATTATTACAGTTTCATGTCATTTTAACAGCCATGGCTCAATGCTATGCAACCATGGGAAGGAGCTGTAGGTACCAGAATTATTTGGCAGAAGAGCCTAAAAACCTGGAATCCTGATTCCATAGAATTGAGCTATGGCAGTTAAAATGATGCCAAACTGCAGACTTAATCCTACTATTGAGATGCAAATTTAAAGACTCCTCACAATATTTCAGCTCCATGTGTGATGCATATTTAATGACTCCATGCGGTATCATTTGTACTAGACTATAGAGAGTAGTTTATTTATATTATTTAGCTTCATTTACTAGCAACAGTACATCGCTAATCATTTCACTTTCATCCTATTCTGATGCATATTTTGTATATGTCTCTTTCCTTTTTTTTCTCTACCTTCTCCTTCCAATTCTCATTCAATCTACACCAACTTAGGTTGCATCCACACTGCAGAAGTCTGTGGTATGCACAATGGCAATCATGACAGTTGTGTTTGGCTTCAGTTGGGAAATCAACCCAGCTGTCCTCACTTTAAACCTACCCTAATACATATTTTGCATGTGTGTGATAGTCTTTCCTTTTATTTCTCTCTATCTCGCACTTCCAATTCTCAGTCAGTCTACACCAACTTAGACTGCATCCACATTGCAGAAGCCTGTGGAATGCACAATGGCAATCAGGACAAGTGTGTTTGGGAAATCAACCCAACTGTCCTCACTGACATTACGTATGCAAGACGTTGGGTAAATTGGGGCATGACTGCATTAAGGTTACTTTACCTTGGATTACTCCAGGTTAGCATGAAGCCACTACAGCACTGACCTACATCTACCCAGGCTTAAATTATTAGTGTAGATGTGCCCTAAGTTTCAAGGCAGTAAATAACAAGATTGATTACACTGCAAAAAAATAACTGGATATAACTTTTAATGAGAAAACTACTTTTGACTTTATGGGCACTTCTGACTTTATCTTCCACAGCTGCTCCGACTACCTTGTGTTTTCTGCAGGTGCTGAATTATATCCCTTCACATGTTTTGTACCGAATACATCTCCTAAACTATTCAGAGGACTGTGGTAGGACCTGCATTAAAACCATGAATTGATGTTTTGTCACTGATATTGGATGCAGAGACCACCAGTGCTTGTGATACATCCTTCCATCTCCTCACACCCTCCACATCTGTGTAATACATGCTACTTCAAGTTACTATAGTCATATAATTGGATTTCATCTTACTGCAATGTATAACACTTGTCTTGCTTCACTGAATAGTTTCTATGTTTTTAATTGTTGCTTCTACCTTTGCTAGAAATAGAAATGGACAATCAAAACCAGACCTCAATTATAACATATTTTGTCCTCTTGAGATTTTCAGATAACTCAGCAATGCAGGCTTTCCTGTTCTTGCTGTTTTTCTTTGTGTATGGCATCACCTTGCTGGGGAATGTTACAATTATCATAGTAATACAGTGTAACAATCACCTCAATACTCCAATGTATTTTTTCCTTGGTCATCTGGCATTTCTTGATATCTGTTTTTCTTCAGTCACTGTTCCAAAGCTCCTAGTGATTTTGTTTGTGAGCCAGACAATTTCATATAATGGCTGTCTCATTCAGATGTTCTGTCTTTTTCTCACAGCAGGCACTGAAACATTCCTTCTGGCAGCAATGGCTTATGACAGATTTGTTGCCATTTGCAAGCCTCTGTATTATATACAAATCATGAATAGAGCATTTTGTAGACAGCTAGTAGGTGGTGCATGGACAATTGGGAGTGGATATGCTATGATAAATACATTGTTTGTACTGAAACTAGCCTTCTGCGAATCAAATATTATCAGGAACTTCAGCTGTGAGTTTCCATCTCTCCTGGCCCTATCCTGCACAGACACTTCCCTAAATGTAATCATACTTCTTGTAACTGGTGGTGTAGTAGGAATTTCCTCACTCTTTATTATCATTTTGTCCTACATTTACATTATCTCTACTATCCTGAAAATGCATTCAGCAGAAGCCAAAAGAAAAACTTTCTCCACATGTAGTTCCCATTTAATTGTTGTGATTTTGTACTATAGCATGGGATCATTTAGGTACCTGAGGCCTGAAACAGTTTCCTCAATAGTTGTAGATACACTCTTTTCTATCCAATATAACATTACAACATCCATGTTAAATCCCATTATCTACAGCTTGAAGACCAGAGAAGTGAAGGAGAGCATCAAGAAACTCATGGGGTATAAATAATTGATTTATGGCAGAATATAATTTGATCATTGGTCAATTAATTAGTTCACTATCTAGTTAAGCCAATATAGTAGGTTTTCCATGCACCTAGTTAAAGTATTTTGCCACAGTGAATACACTGAAATAGATAGATACGTTTTATTGATTGGCCTATTGGCCGTATCAAAACATTTAACACATAACACAATTAACACATAGTCATACATAGTCATACATACAACATACAACCCTTCGGTATAAAAGGAGTTAAAATAAACAAGCTGTTAACAAGATCTCGTTCAGGTCAAATGTCTGCGTCACCTCCACAGTTTACCCCAATTGATTCTAAATGTGCAATTCTCTTCTGTGTTGCTTTGAATAGAAAAAGGGCTGTTTTGTGTGTTATTTTACACAATAATTATAATACACTGAAATAAATTGACAATACTGCTAATTTCAGATTGTAAATGGCATGAATTCATGGAACTCACTTTGTCTAGTCACCTCCTGAAAAATAAAAAGTAATTTTAGTTTTAATTATAATGAAATGAGCTTGATTTATTTTGCTTCAATAATGGTCTTTAACTTCTATTGCTTTGTGAGTTCTGCATTATAAAATATTTTATGTACTAACTGAACCCTCATTTCAGTAATTTGGCCTTCAGATATTCTGGTCTATGTGGATTTAATATTGTGTAAGTTTCAATGCAGATAATCCAACATGGACTTTTCATTGTTAGAGTATTTGTTGTTGTTTCTTTTTAAGGTAGGAAACAATCTACAATTAAATACAATAAAGTAATCTAAAATGGAATCAAATTCTTAAAGAGCAAGAACATAGTACTAGCAATGTATAGTTTTATAAGTACAATAAATTCCTAGGTGGATTTTGTATTTATAAAAAATATCCATGGTCAAGAATGAGTAAATGAGAACAAAATGGGAATCTGAGCCACCTTCAATGGCAACTGCATGTGGAATGCATTACAATAGCTCAATAGTGAGGCTACCAAAGCATAGATTACTTTAACTACATTATCCCTACTCAGGAAATGTCAATTTTAAGAGTTTTAAAAAATGTAATATGTTAAAAGTGTGATTGTATTATGTCTTGTTTTCTTTAAACTGTTTTTGATTTGTTATTTGTACCTTTGGCACCGAAAGTTTGCCAATGTGTTTTACTTTGCTGTAAGCTGTCTTGAGTCCGTTCGGAAAGATAGGGCAGGCCTTAAATAAAGCCTTCTTCTTCTTCTTCTTCTTCTTCTTCTTCTTCTTCTAATTATTATTATTATTATTATTATTATTATAGCTGACAGATTGAGGGTGTTCCCAGGTACCACCTGGCCTCCAGTGACAAAAATTATTGCTGACAAAACAGAGGAATAAAGAGACCAGACAATATATGTGGAATGAACTAAGGGAAATTTTATTAGTTGTTACCAGTTCATATGTTTCTTGGTGATTGTTAGTCAAATTTGAGGGAGTAAATTTGATATGTAAGCAGCTGAATCAGTCATTCATGCCTTGAACTCTCAGCCTCCCCTAGGCAAAACACCAACATCCCTGAGAGCAATCTCTGATCAGCATGGTTGATCAAAGGTCCAGCTAAGATACTGGAAGACTAGGTAGAGGGTGTTACCCCCGAGCCACTTTGACTCCTTATGATAGCAAAAACTCAGCAACCAGCCCCAAGGATAGGAGATTCTTCCCAACCTTTAGGACCACATCGCACACACTGTTGGAACTGGACTATCTTGCTGTGTCTTGGTGGCACCCACACAGGGGGCATGAGGAACCTGTTGTTCCATGCCCTACTCGTGGCTTCTCCTCATCACATGGGGTGGGGGAAGGAAGGAGAGCCAAGGAGGTGCCTTGCCTCCTACCTCATGCCCTGTAGCATGGACCGCTGGTCGGGCCCTAGAGAGAAAGAGGGACAGTGGCCCCTCACCTCTGGTGAGAGAGACCCCCCCCTTACTATATTCATACATATGCCAGTTCACATATAAAGCTATTCCCCAGGAAGGCAAGGCAGAGGCCAAAAGTGAAGAAGATGCTCAAATTTGACTAACAATCACCAAGAAACAGGTCAGCGTATCTCTCCATGTCTTGGTGGCACCCACACAGGGGGCATGGGGGACCTGTTGGTCCACATCCTACTCGGTCGTGGCTTCATCACAAAGGGGGGAGGGGGAAGGAAGGAGCGCCAGGGAGGTGCCTTGCCTCCTACCTCTTGCCCTGTAGTGTGGATGGCTGACTTGGCCCTAGAGGGACAGTGCCCCCTCACCTCTGGTGAGAGAGAGCCCCCCCCCATACTACATTCATACATATGCCAGTTCACATATAAAGCTAAGGCAAACTGAATATTCCCCAGGAAGGCAAGGCAGGGACCGAAAGTGAAGAAGACGTGGGCTGCAAGTGCTGCTAGAAGAGTGTCACTACCCGTGCATCCTACCACCACATCTTCACCCCAGCAGTCCCACAAGACAAGAAAAGGAGGAGAATGAGAAAGCGACACTCCCACAGCTGCTGCTTTGCTTGCTCTTGCTCTCTGTCATGTGCTCCACTCCAGACCCACACCACCTCTGGATGGTGAGATACAAAGGAAGCACAAGCCAGATCCATGCTTCTCCAAACAGAATCAGGCAAGCATTCATATGCATACGCATTGGAAACTTGGTTGCTATCCCTAGCTTCCAATGCTTTTGATCTGCAAACAGTAAAGCAGGGGGCAGAATAAGTGAGACTGCCCTTTCACATTTAGAGCAACCTCTGGAGTCATGAACCCACTCAGGAGGTGTGGTGACCTGTCACCCCACAACCCACATCTTCCTGGCTTCTCCCTGCCCCATCAGACAGGAAAAAGCCTCAATAAGCCACCTCAACCCCTCTTTCTTAATGCAAAGATGGGGAAGCCTCCCTTGTGCACCACCAGGATCTTTTCAGCAGTGGCAGGGATTTTTTTTTTTAGTTTGGCCATGGAACAGCCCCGGAAGTACTTCTAATGGGTGTGATGGGAGTTGTTGTTCTCCATGGCTGAAACCTCCCGTCACTGCTGCCAAAAAGAAGCCTGTGTGAAGAGATTCTTAGATCACTCAATAATCAGAAGTTCAAAATTCCCATCCACCAAAATGATGTTATATCACCACATATGTTACACCACACTCTTTCTTCAGAACACTCACTGACAGTCACAAAAATGCAATTTACCCTTCTTCTCTTCTGTTAACTCTTCAACCAACTTCCGCTTGAACATTTATTTATTTAGTTACCACACTTGTACCCCGCCTTTCTCATTCCAAAGGGGACTCAAGGCAGCCTTACAAAGGCAACAATTTGATGCTGTATATACATATTGATAAATAAACAAATGCATTAAAATCCAAACCAATTGAAACATAAACATTAAAACATCAATTAAAATCACACAATCCAGTTCATATTCCAAGACCAATCCAAGTCATTATTGCAGTGCTCCAATTTACTCGCCAAAAGCTTTGTCCCAAAGCCATGTTTTTAGTTTTTTCCTGAAGGTCAGGAGGGAGAGGGTGATTGAATTTCACTGGGGAGGGAGTTCCATAGACCCTTGTCACCCTGCCTATTGTCTCCACCAGTCACACTTAAAGGGGTTGGACTGAGAACAGGGCCTTCCCTGACAATCTTAACCTCCAAGGTGGATCATAGAGGGAGATACGTTTGGGCAGATTAGCTGGGCCAGAACCATTTAGGGATTTATAGGCTAAAGCCAGCACTTGGAATTGTGCATGGTAGCAAACTGGCAGCCAATGGAGCTGACACAATGGGGGGGGGGGTATGCTCCCTGTATGCTGCTCCGGTGAGCAACCTGGCTGCTACCCATTGGACCACTTGAAGTTTTTGAACAGTCTTCAAAGGCAACCCCACATACAGTGCATTGCAGTAGTCTATTTGAGATGTAACAAGAGCGTCAACCACTGCAGCCAAGTCTGACTTCCCAAGGTATGGGTGCAACTGGCGCACAAGTTTTAATTGTGCAAAGCTCCCCTTTTCTTATATTTAACCATATCAGTCAACTTGAGATTCAAGCACATTCCTTGTGAGTGGGCTTGACTATTTTCCTGACACGAAGGTAGGAGACATTAACAAGGAATATAATGGAAAAGTTATCATAGAATCAAAGTTGGAAGATACCACAAGGATCAGTCTAACCCTTCGCCATGTAGGAAAATACAATCAAAGCACCCCCCTTCTAGATGCCCACTATTCCATGCATCACTTTCATGTTGTCCATGAAGGAGATACAAGTAGCCAGTTATAATCCTTCTGGTCACCCTTTTATCCCAAAATATCAATAATTCCAGTTGTACAGGTATATCTAAAATGGATGGTTGAGGCATTTGATCATTGAAAAATGAACACATCTAATCTCCTCTTCATGAATGTGCAGACTGAAAACGTTATCCAGTATATTCTGCATTTCAATGAGCATTTCAAAAATAAATCCATCAGAGATTTTTAAAATATCAATACATGTAGCTATGAAGACAAAACAAATGAACTTACTTCAGTATCACATCACATTGTGTAAAAAAAAGTTTTGCTACAGGGCCATGTGCAGCTTTACTTGAGAAAAGGACACTTTTGAAAGATTTTTTGCCAAAACAGTTTTGATACCTTTGTTTTTCAGGCTATATATAATAGGGTTCAGCATGGGAGTTAGGATGCTGTACTGAATAGATACCAATTTGTCCAGATATGTAAATGATTCTGAACTCGGTCTCATATATCGGGAAAAAGCTGCAATGTAAAATAACCCCACCACAATGAGGTGAGAGCTGCATGTGGAGAAAGCTTTACGTCTCCCTTCTGCTGAACGAATCCTGAGGATAGTGGAAATGACGTAAATGTAAGAGATGAGGGTGAGGATGAATGAACTTAAACCAAATACCATTGCAGAGATAAAAAGAACTATATAATTGCTGAAGGGATATGTGCAAGACAGAAGCAAGAGTGAGGGAAGTTCACAGGTATAGTGGCTAATTGTA